TTTCCTGGTGGAGGTGACGAGGAGTTTTGGGTTTGGAAACAGATGGTGTAAATGGATTTGGGGTTGTGTTAAGAGCTGCCACTATTCAATCTTGGTGAATGGAGCTGTAAGGGATTTCTTTCCTGCCTCAAGGGGAATAAGACAAGGAGACCCACTCTCCCCCTTCCTATTCACTTTGGTTGTAGATGTTTTGGGCAGACTGATTCATAGAGATGATGCGAGGAACTTAGTAAAAGGGTGGAGAATAGGAAGGGAGCAAGTACCACTAACACACTTACAGTTTGTAGATGACACAATTCTTTTCTGTGAAGGTGAGGACATAACTTGGATAGGGAACCTGAAATTGGCCATACAATTATTTGAGTAGATGTCCAATCTAAAAGTGAACTTTGATAAGAGCTGTTTGGTGGGAGTGAATTTGGAGGAGAGAGAGGTAAGTGAGTATGCGGGGTTATTAGGGTGTGCAATTTCGGATTGGCCGTTGACTTATTTGGGTCTCCCCTTAGGAGTTAATCCCATGAAGGACAGCTTCTGGAACCCGGTTCTAGAAAGACTTGAGAAAAGGCTTGCCTCATGGAGGAGAAATTATCTTTCTCTAGGGGGGAGAATCACTTTAATTAGGTGTACCCTAGCTAACCTTTCTGTTTAATTTTTGTCGGTGTTTAAGATTCCCGCAAAGGTCTCAAGTAGAGTGGAAAAGTTAATGAGTGATTTCTTGTGGGAACCAGGAGAGGAGAAGAAAGACCATAGGGTGAGTTGGGAGGTGGTAACTAGAAGCAAGCAGTTAGGAGGGCTTGGGATTGGGAATATCAGGAAAAGGAACATGGCATTGTTGGGGAAATGGTTATGGAGGTTTCCAATGGAAAGGGACAAACTCTGGACGAAGATTATGGCTAGTATACATGGGTTGGAAGACAATGACTGGGATCCAGGAATCTTGGCAAGGACAAACCTTATTTGCTTCTGGTTTTCTCCCCTTGGATGTGGTATGATCTGAACTCTGGTAATCTCGTAAAATTTTGGGAGAAACCTTGGGTTGAGGACTCATCTCTGATGGACCAATTTCCCTCCTTATATGCGTTGTCAGACCTAAAGAATGAACCCATTTCTTCTTTCTTAGTTTCTTTTGATTCTAATTCCGGTTTTGGATGGAATCTAGGGTTGAGGAGAACAATAAGGGATACGGATTTGGGCTGCCTATCGTCTCTACTAGCCACCCTTGAAAATGTTTTCTTGGACCCGAGTAAGGATGACTCTAGAATTTTGACCCCATCCTCCAATGGTTCCTTCTCCTGTGCGTCGTTTTTTGAGACCTTGGTCCATCCTCCTTTTCTCTCTGGCCTTTCCTTCCCTGTTAATGAGATTTGGAGTAAACCCATTCCTCCTCGGGTTGGTAGTTTTTGTTGGGAAACTTTCCTGGAAAGAATAAACACAACCGACTTGCTTCAAAGAAAGAGACCTAGTTCTTGCTTACTTCCCAATAGGTGTGTTCTTTGTAAAGCTAATGGGGAAACGGCTTACCACCTTATGGTTACTTGTTCGGTTACTAAGACTATTTGGGAATGGGCTTCATCCTTGTTTGGATGCATTTGGAATCCCCTGTGAGTTTGCAAAGCTTGTTCTATCCCTCGTTCTCTAGATGGCCTAAGAAAAGAGGGAAGATCATGTGGAGAAGCATTAGAGCAGTTGTGTGCTGGTCTGTATGGGAAGAGAGGAACTGTAGACTTTTTTCAGACAGAGAAAGATCTATGGAGAATTTAACTGAATTGATACACTTAAGGGTCAGTCATTGGCTGAAATCTTTGGAGCTTTTTTCACAGTTCTCCATGGCTGATCTTTTGAGAAAGTGGAAAGAAGTTGCTACCTCGGCTCAGTGCAAAAGGACCTCTAGACCTTCTTTGGCCCCCCTTCCTTCAGGATTCATGAAACTGAATTTTGATGGTTGTAGTTTAAGGAATCCTGGGCCATCTGGGATTGGGGGAGTTTTCAGAAATGAGGCTGGGATTATTTTTGCTATGTTCTTTGGCCCTATTGGTGAGGGTGACTCTCTTAGGGCAGAGATTTTTGCAGCTTTGGAAGGAATCAAAAGAGCATGAGAATTAAACATTCGGTGCTTGATCATTGAAGGGGACTTGGAGGTGGTAATTAGGTGGTTGAAGGAAGACAGCAATGGTTTGTGGAGCTACAGAAATAAAAAGAAAACATTTAAATGGCTGAGTAGGGGTATTGAGGTGAAGAGAAGTGCTAATTCCATGGCTGATGGGTTAGCCAAGCAAGGGGTGCTTAAGGATTCTTTGTTTTGGGCCACTTTTTAGCTTTCCTCCTTGTTCTCTGTTGTGGGGGAGTTAAGATATTTTACCTCCCCTCTCTTGTACTCGAAGTTTCACAATTTTTATAATCTAATAAAACATTCTGTTATTGATAAAAAAAATGAGTAAGATGAATCTATCTCTTTTGGGTAAGTGGTTGTGGAGGTTCCCTATGGAGAATGAAAAGCTTTGGCATAAGGTTGTGACTAGCATTCGAGGTTCCCTACTCTTGCGCTAACTTGGAAAGCTGTACCTGGTATTCTCTCATTGTTTCTCAATCATATTAGGTATGACTTGTCCTTTAATAAGATTAAATTTTGGGAAGACATTTGGATTGGGGTGTCTACCTTGAAAGAGTTGTTTCCTTCATTGTATGCTTTATCCAACCTCAAAGAGAGACCTATGTTTGACTTTATTCGTCCTTCTTGTTCATCCTTTGGGCTGAATTGGAACTTGGGCTTGGGGAGTAATCTTAGAGTTTCTGAAATGTCCCTTGTGACTAACCTTTTGAAGTTGTTTGATGGGGTGGTCCTTGATGATTCTGTAGGGAATGGCTATCAGTAGTTTCGTCATTTTGATGGTAGGTTCTCTTGTACCTTCTTTGATTCCTTAGTGGCTAATCCATCTTCTTAAGTGTGGTTTGTTCTTTTTCCGCCAAAAGTTAGTGATCTTTGCTGGAAAGCCTTCCATGGAAGGCATTAATACATGTGATATGTTGCAAAGGAAAAGACCATACTGGTTTTTGTTCCCTACCTGGTATATCATGTGTGGATTGAATTGTGGGACTGCAATGCCTACCACTTCTTAATCCCTTCATCCCTTGTCCATTTGCTTGTTGTATTTGGGAATGTTTTTTTGCTCATTTGGATGTAGGTGGAACCCCCTGTTAGCTTGGACAAATTGTTTGACATGTTTATGATGAGATATTCAAAAAGGTGTAAGCTCACGTGGAAATGCACACAGGCAGTTGTGATTTGGACTATTTGGAAAGAAAGGAATGCAAGACATTTTGAGGAGAAACAGAGAAGTAGGGAGGCAGTAATTGAAACCATCACTTCAAGATTTGGAGCTATTCTTAGACTTCATTGTGGATAATATTATTAGAATTTGGGGGACAGTAGCAGGGTCTTCTTCTGAAAAACGAAAAATAAAGGAAGATTGGACACCTCCAAACAGAGGATGGTTGAAACTGAACTTTGATGGGAGCCATATAGGCAATCCAAGGCCTTCTAGAATTGGGGGAGTGGTACGGGATGAGAACAGAACCATATGTGTTATGTATTCAGGTCCAATAGGAGAAGGTGGTTCAGTAAGGACTGAAGCTTTGGTAGTAGCATTTGGAATGTAGAAAACTAAAGAAATGCGAGTTGAGGGGATGATGATTGAAGGTGGTAGTTAGCTGGTTAGTGAATGAAAAAAATGTGGTGTGGAATTTTAGAAATGAATTAAGATGGTTCAAGTGGTTCTAAAAGCTACCTATAAAAAAGGGTTCTAAAAGCTCAAAAGACATGCTTATACAAATCGGATGGATACGAAAATTTGCAAACAGTTTGGCTGATTGTTTGGCTAAACAAATGGTTAATAGACAGCAAATGTTTTGGGCTCAAATGTAAGAAGGGTGGTGTGGTAGCTCTTTTTATTGTTTTAAGAATTTCTTATTGTAACTATTTAAATTTTTAATGAATGAATTCTTTTCTTTGTTGCTGATCCAGATAAAGTATAAATTTCATATCAAAATAAAGAAACATATTTATGAGAGGAAAAAGAAGAAAGAAAAGAAATTAAGAAAACATAAGGGGTGAAGACATCATGTGCCAACATATGTGTAGGGTGAACCCTAGCAAATAAGAAAATAATAGAAGGAAAATGGTATATAAACCTACAAAATGAATAATTTTGTGTAATATCAGAAACTAAAAGAATATTATACTTGCTGCTATATCATTAAAAACACATTATATAGCACCTTGTTCAAATAACTTAGGTGCGTAAGTGGTGCGGCCCTCCATGGTCTCCTTGTTGCCTGGTGTTGTATTGACAACTATTCCAGCTCGTCTTGATTCATGAGATTAGGATTGAGTTAGGAAGAAGAGAATCAGAAGAAAGGGGTGTTAAAAATGTTTGGTGTGGCCCCATCATTGACATTTGTATTAATATATAAAATACAATTGAGTTACATATTAATGCCTGACCAACATAATGGTTAACTTACACTTTGATATTAAACATACACTTGATAAAATGAAAGAAACTTCCATGAAACTAAAAGAATTTACAAGGAAAAGAATAAAAGAGAATAGTTTACTGGACAAAAGAGTTGATACAATACTCGATAATTTCCCAATACAATCTCGAACCCAAACAGATAACAGAAGCTATACATTTAAATGGGGATAATGCGGTTGTGGGATTTGGGATGGTTGAGTATGGTGTTGGGGGTTGTTTTTCTTGTCCTTTCTGTATGGGGCTTATACTTTGGTTTTAGGGTGGTGTGTTTTGTGAACCTAGAAGCGAGGGGGTGTTTTGTTTGCTTTTACTTTGGATAGTCTTATCTCCATCATTGTTTAGGTTAGAGAATTCCATTTGGTATGCCCTTGGTGAAATATGGTGATGCTGAATGATGTTTTCCTTTGTAGCCTTTATATTTTTGTTAATAAGAAAGTTTATAACTATTCTGTACAACTTTTTCAGGGAACAATCAATTTATGAATGCATTGTAGGGAATCTATTTGAGGAGTACAAGTTCTTCCCCAAGTATCCAGAAAGGCAGCTTAAAATTGCAGCTGTACTCTTCGGTAAGGATCAGTGTATTGTGAGGAATCTATTTAAAGAATCATTAAAAGAAGAAAGAAGAAAAACAGTAGTCTGATTGATTAATGGAATGAAAAGAACAAAATTGTTCTTTACTCAATCAATCATACCTAATGTCTGAGCTTCTAACAGAGTTTGTGAAGCTAAACCATGTAGGGTGATTTTCCCCCTCTGTAGGCATTACAGCATTGCGACATTTTTCTTAGATGTTGTACATCCTTACATGCCTTGACTTTGAAATTCTACCCTGATTTTTTCATAGCAGTTCTGACTAAGGAGATATGTTCTGAAACTAACTTCCCTCCGAGCTATCTCTTTTTACAACAATAAACAGATATTTATATCTAATCATGTTTTGCCTGGAGTTATTAGAATGCTTTGGTTGAAATTGTTACAGGTTCTCTCATAAAGCATCAGCTTGTGACCCATCTTACCCTTGGTATTGCTCTCCGTTGTGTTTTGGATGCACTCCGTAAATCAGCTGATTCAAAAGTTAGTATCCTCCTTTCAGCTGGGCTTGCTATTCCTGTTTGATATTCCCCCGCTCCTCTCCGTCTTGTCTCTTGTTGTTTGTATTCATTGTTGATAGTCTCTCTACAGATGTTCGTTTTTGGGGTCAAGGCTTTGGAGCAGTTTCTGGACCGCCTAGTAGAGTGGCCACAGTATTGCAATCATATCTTGCAGATAGCCCATCTTCGTGGCACCCATTCTGAGCTTGTTGCATTCATTGAGCGTGCTCTTGCTAGGATATCTTCAGGCCATTCTGAACCCAATGGTGGCATTAGTTCTACTGAGCAGCACCAAGTTTCTACCCAGGCTCCCATGGAAAATGTGGAGGTACGTATGTACTGTATTAATTAGCACATCTACGTGTTGTCTGGTTAAACATTCTAAACAAGCTTGATGTGATGCTCCTGGATGTTAGAATTATGATTCAGTGAAAATTGTACTCTGACAATTACAAATATAACAGAACTTCTTTCACAATTGAACTTGAAAGTTGTCATTACCTCCTAAATCGTCTTTCAGTTGTCTTCTTGCCATGTTTCCTGTATTTAGAACATAGATTGAAGGAATTGATGGAATGATATTCGAGAACTTCTATTTAAAATGTTTATAACTAAAATGCTTGAATGTTAATGATGTTTTGCAGAGCTTCAAGTAAGGTTTTACCATTTTTGTTAGAAGATGTTGCATGTTTCATCTGTCAACATCAACATAGTTTACCCATTTTAATGGTTTTTGGGTCTTACTGTTGTCTGTCCTAGCAGATCGTCTGAAGCCATCTTGCTTCTCAAGTGCAGTAAAAAGCAGAAGAGATGTGCTGTTTGATTGTCTTATTGTCTATTTTGGATTTTGTGTAAAAACCATCGTCAAATGGAAAATCCATTCTGTAAAAACCATTTCCAAATGGCAAATTCACTTGTAATATACTCCTAATGGTTGGTAAAGCAGAGAGGTGTTAGATTTAGAATATGGGATCTTGATTTGAGTGAAAAAGAGAKTAGTCTTCATTTCTAGATATTGTTCAGCTATGACCTTTCATTCTGAGCGGTTCTAGGTGATAATCTAGTCAAATATGGTGGCCCCACTTCAGGTGCCTGTTGGTTGGGCGTACATCTTTTGTGTGCAGTGTTCTGTCCAATGTGGATTGATCCATGCAATGGCAAATTCACTTGGAATATACTCCTAATGGTTGGTAAAGCAGAGAGGTGTTAGATTTAGAATATGGGATCTTGATTTGAGTGAAAAAGAGATTAGTCTTCATTTCTAGATATTGTTCAGCTATGACCTTTCATTCTGAGCGGTTCTAGGTGATAATCTAGTCAAATATGGTGGCCCCACTTCAGGTGCCTGTTGGTTGGGCGTACATCTTTTGTGTGCAGTGTTCTGTCCAATGTGGATTGATCCATGCAATGTATGTGGATATGGTCCTGTCTTTGGGGTAAGGTCTTTTGTCATTTGAGGAGCTGTAGGCCAACCCAGATGTGAACCCATGGTTTATGGTTGTTGTGAAACAGGCTTGGAGAGGGCCACGGGCATGGGCCCATATGGCCACATGGGTAAGGCTTGCTTGTACTGTGTCATAGGTATTATTATTTTTTGTGTTTCTGTTCTTCCTTGTCTCTGTAGCTCCTACATGTCCACTTTTGTTTCCCATGTTACCCTTCATGGCTCAATATTGTATTCCATCTTGTTGGTTAATCTTCTCATATATAATAAGACACTTGTCATCTGTTTTCACATGCATTGCCCGTTCCACCTAGTTAGTTTAGAAAAAAAAGAAAAGCATTAAACATTTGCAAGTTCAAGTGAAGCATGAAAAAAAGAAAAAAAATAAAAAGAAAAGGAAAAGCCCATAATCTGGTTATTGTTATTCTTGGTGTTTCTTCTTGTAACTTAGTTTTATGAGGATACCTGTCATTTTAGCTGTGGATGGAACAATTTGTTGGCAAGTGATATGGTTTTTATTTTGATTTTCCCCCTTACAGTTACTGTGTTAAACTCTCAGGCATCTGAATCCTTGTGGCAGTTAGGGGGATCTGGCACCACACAGCCTGGGCAGCAACTCTCCTCTGCTCTCCAGCTTCAGCAGCGACAGCAAGGTTTTCTTGATGAGAGACCGAGAACATCTACAACTTCAGTAAGCTACATGAAGCCCGTTATATCTCCTGCTGGGCAAGCTTCACTTGTTTCCACCCAGGATACGCTGAATAATCAAAAGGTATATAAACAATTCATTCAAATTGACATGTGATGTTGTGTGTATGCTAAGCTGCTTCGTTACTTATCATCCTCAATATTTGTTTGCTTTGATTATTTCACTGTAGCTGCCTGTCTCCCAATCATTCCAGACAGTTTCATCGCAGAACACTGCAAGTGGTTTGGCAACTGTGTCATCCTCAACTGGTTTTCTTCGTCCTTCCCGAGGAATTGCATCTACTGGTAATTATCTATCTTTTGATGATTGAAATCATGCCCTATTTTCTAGATAGTAATATTTTGTCCATAGTTTGCTTCACAGTTTTTCTATTGTATTTCTTGGTCTCAGAATCTTTATTTGTTTGTCCCTTTCTTGTAGGTATGCTTAGACAGCATTCATATAATACAGGGTTTGGTTCTGCTTTGAACATTGAAACACTTGTTGCTGCTGCTGAGAGAAGGGATACTCCCATAGAGGTATGATGTTGTCCATTAAAATTGCAGGCTTTGGTTTCTTCATTGTAACTTGAACAGGGAACATGTAGATTGTTGTTATCAGACTTGGACAAAACTGGGCTGGGTGGATGGGCAGACCATCAGAACTGGGACTTGCCGCCAAATGATTTTTGGGTTGCCTGGTTCTTAGAAATGTTGACTTGATGAAACTTACCTCAAAACATGTCTCGAAAGGTGTTATAACATATAATATTTATCGTCTTGTACTTATTTTGATGTAAAATAGATTTAAATGATGATGTGGGAAACTTTCTAATTTTCCTAGTTTTTCTTTTTTTTTGCATTTTTAGTTTGAGCGGATTGAATGGTCAAACCTATTTGACCCATGGCACAGTGACCAAAATGGTTCTATGCCAGATCCAAGTCTGACAACAATTATGTAAAGATAAAATGTATTCGACTTTTTTGGACAGACATGATGTATCAGTTGTCTCACAACTTGGGAGTTTAGGAGAGCAGTGTCACTGTATGTAACCAGTGGTGCCTCTGTGGTCATACTGCCTGATATGACATGAATATGATATTTTTTTAGATGGTAAATTATATTTTGTATTAATTGAAAAATTATGGATATTGTACTATTACACTACTGGTCAGTGGTTTATAGGAGACATGAAATGATCTCTACTGTGGAAAACAATTAGGTAAATAGAACTGAAAATAATCGGTAAGTAGAAATATGTTAGAATATAAAGATGCCAACCAGGTGACTGCTGATATTTCCAGAACTTAAGCTGTATCAATTAGAGTTCAGTTTGATTAGATAATAATCAGGTTAGGATTGGATGATTGGATCTATCTGTTAAACCTAAATCACCCGGTTCTACCTTCAATGCCCTTTGGGTGATTCAGCTGATGGAATAGAGATTTGTGTTTTGTCCATGCAGGGACTATATTCACATTTTTTTTTCTGATGGATAACTGTTCACTTTATTAGTTGTTAATAATGAACATGTGATATAGGAGAAAAATGCCAAGCACCTTGAAGATGTAGGGTACCCTGAGCCATATTGCGCAATACATTCTTTATACAAACCAAAGTGAAAAAACCTCTATTAGTAACCCCTGGATGCAGCTGCACCCTGTAAACCCCTTACTTTGTAGGATAATCTGCCATGGTATTTGTTATTCTTCAGATCCATTGGAACTCGGTTCTCATTTCTTGAGCAAGCTGTTTCCTTCGTCGATATTTGTCTCTATTGCCAGTCTCCGGATATTATAGATTAGGCTGCTTAGCAATTCGAGTGTCTGTCCACCACAATATTTGTAGTTCAATAATTGTCCCAGCTTTAGATCTTGGTGTTGATCCAACAATTCCAGTGCTGTTGGAAAAAAAAAAGAGCTTGTGTTGTTGTGAAGGTTCATGTGTATGGCAAGTTTGCATGGGTGTGGGGTAAAAAAGTAATTGCAATCAATATTCTTTTATTTAAAAAGACAAATAAAGAACTAAGTAGGGTAACGTGTAATGTGCAGTGAGCTTCAATACAGGCTAGGCTGGCTTTTCCGAACAGCCAAGCTTTTCTCATTTTTTTTGGTCAATGGCTTTTCTCAAAAATTCCGCTCTGAGTTTCCTTGACCAGTCCTGATTACAGTGCCAAACTCACACCATTGTGATCCCTAATGAGTAATGACCACTCTTATACCTGTTCTTCCTGGATTGTTAATACTACTACAAAACTGAGTTTAATCTGATTGACATTTCGTGGTGCCCAAAGCAGATGGTGTGATTTTGGCTATCTGGGACCACTTCTTCAGTTGGGATACGGTTTTCTTGCCTGTCACCATGTTTCTTCATTATTTTACTCTCTCAAGTTGTGTCCATTGTGATTTCTTAAGTTTTTGCATCTCCCCTGGTCCTTCACTTTGAAAAAAAAATTCCTTGAAGGCTGTATCAAGGATATCTTGAACATTTGGATTATGGAGTATTGAAAATTGGGGATGGGGAACTTGTCTTTTTGGTCCTGTGCTGGGAGGGATGGGTCCTAGAAAACAATTGACACTTTGGAATCTCTTTTCAAGCTATTACTGCATTTATATGCTCCATGTGGGAGGATTGTTTTGTGTGGTCGATTGGTTGTGTTGTTTCTTGCTTAATATCCACCATAGACAAACTGCTTCCTTCTGTGTGTTTGAGGGTTTCTACTTGGAAACTCAGTTGATGAGTCTAAAATCTTCAGATGTTGGAATTTAGTTGTGACTCTGAGTGAGATAATCAATTGTCTCCTGGATGTGACGAACCATGGTTTCCTCATTTGTGAGTTTCCTTGTTCCAGCTTTACAATTCAATGATTCATAATTTACAATCCTCAGATGAGCTAGATTTGCTAGTGTGGTGGGATTCTGTTTTTGGTCTCTGCTTTTCTTGGTTGGAGCCTTTGGTTTTTGCATAGAACTAGTAGGCTATTTTCATTTTCTTGAATTACCATGGGTGGACTGTGTGAATTGGTACTAACCGAACCACTTGGCAAATCAGATTGGTGTCAAGAGATTTAGGTAACTATCATGTGAACTATCTTTAGATGAATAGCCAAATCAGAAAAACAAAACCACCTACCACTCGATGAATCAGCTTGCTTGTAAGAGCTTTAGGTAATATCACGTGAATTATGCTGAATTTGGCAATTCAAGAAAATGAAAATAAATTCAGAAAAAAAGCTACCTTTAAGCTTCTTCCTTGGTAACTATTGTACATGTGTAGGACAAAATGTATTTGTTGCTACTTTTGTTGTATGATTGCTATTGCTATACATACTTTCATTACATTACTTGATACAGGCTCCCGCATCGGAGATTCAAGACAAAATACTCTTTATGATAAATAACATATCGGCTGCAAATCTTGAAGCTAAGGCAAAAGAATTTACTGAGATTCTTAAAGAGCAGTATTATCCATGGTTTGCACAGTATATGGTGATGAAAAGGTTATAAATTTCTCATATACCTTGTATTTGATCATAGCTTGTTTAGTTTTTTTTTTCAGGATTATCATGTGCTCTTCTTAATCCTCTAATATTTGGTTATCTTGTATTTTGTGATCAAAACACAACTTAACAGAGCAAGTATTGAGCCGAATTTCCATGATCTGTACTTGAAGTTCCTAGACAAGGTTAATTCAAAAGCACTGAATAAGGAGATTGTCAAAGCTACCTACGAGAACTGCAAGGTGCGTTTATTAAAATCTCCCTATTTGTCCTAGATTGCTGGATTCATTAAATTTATGAGTGAAAAATTATATGCTAGTGTCCATCTGTTTTTTCAGGTTCTTTTGAGATCGGAGCTTATAAAATCAAGTTCAGAAGAGCGTTCCTTGCTGAAAAATTTAGGCAGCTGGCTTGGGAAGTTCACTATTGGCAGAAACCAAGCACTAAGGGCTCGAGAAATTGATCCTAAAGTTTTGATAATAGAGGTAGTTTTTAGCTTTTTGGATTTTTGACACATTTTTGTTATTTTTAATATGCTTTTGCTTGTGAAGTTAAAAATTGTTGTTTCTTGGATTTTCATGCTGTTGGGACTTGCTTTATTTGGGTCAGGCATACGAGAAAGGGCTAATGATTGCAGTAATTCCATTTACCTCAAAGGTATGACTGCTATTTGATTTGTTTGCTTTCAGTTTACTTCAGAAATATATATTCACTGTTTCTTTCTGCAGATTCTGGAACCATGCCAGGGCAGTCTAGCTTATCAGCCTCCCAATCCATGGACTATGGGCATCCTTAGTTTACTTGTTGAGATTTATGCATTGCCAAATCTGAAAATGAACCTCAAGTTTGATATTGAGGTAGTCTACCATCCTTATTTTATTATTTTCTCGTTTTTTTCCTGCTGACTTCTATATCATTTCCTTTCTATTTTGCTTCTTATATTTCAGGTCTTATTTAAGAACCTTGGTGTGGATATGAAAGATGTAAAACCAACTTCTCTTCTGAAAGATCGTGTTCGGGAAGTTGAAGGCAATCCCGATTTTTCGAACAAGGATATTGGGGCATCCCAAGCTCAGATGGTTACTGAAGTTAATTCAGGAATTCTATCTACATTAGGTCAAGTTGAACTACAGCCTGAAGTTGTTAATCCATCTCACCCTGGTCATTCAAATGTACTATCTCAGGTGTGCACTATTTTCTTATAATCGTTTTTTGGTATGTTGATTGATTGTTGATAGTTATCCCTAACATTTCTTGGATTTCAATTTGCTTGATGACTTTAGTATGCCACTCCTCTTCATCTGGCTTCTGGTCCATTAATGGAAGATGAAAAGATGGCAGCATTAAGCTTATCTGATCGCCTTCCTTCTGGTCAAGGATTGTCACAAGTTGCTCCATCTCAGACACCATTCTCTGTTAGTCAGGTTTTGTCGCATATCTAGTCAAAGTCTTTGGTGTTATCAGAAGTGATCTGTTGCCATTCTTTGGTTAATGGTTCTGTTCATATTGTTTGCAGTTACCCACTCCAATCCCTAATATTGGAACTCACGTAATTGTCAACCAGAAGCTTAGTAATTTGGGCCTACAGCTGCATTTTCAGAGGTCTACAATTGTTAACATAATTAATTTCTTTCTTTTTCCTGATCATTTTTCTCCCGATTTGTCAAGCAAGCTGACCATTCCTCCTTTTCTAAGTATATTAGATAGTAAATCACGTTTGTTGTTCATGTCAGGATTTTGCCAGTCGCCATGGAGAGGGCTATCAAAGAGATAATATCTCCTATTGTTCAGCGTAGTGTCACAATAGCCATGCAGACAACAAAGGAGCTCGTTTTAAAGGTTAGTTATGCTCCACTTTCTCTTCCTATGTATCTTATTTTAACAACTGTTTATTTATTTTAGTTGGAATTAATTGGTAGGACTATGCAATGGAGTCGGATGAGAGCCGCATATATAATGCTGCACACTTGATGGTGGCAAGCTTGGCTGGAAGTTTAGCTCATGTTACGTGCAAGGTCTTTTCCACGTTTATGATGCTATTTGAAATTCTTCGTTTGTGAGGCGAAATGCCGACATGTTCAGGATTCGAAGATTTCCTCTGTTGATTCTATGAGTTTTCTATGCAATGATTTTTGATTCAGTATTTGTGCTTAAGAGAAATGCTGATGGTTTTGCTAGGAACCTCTTCGTGGTTCGATTTCAAGTCACCTGAGGAATTTGCTACAGGCCTTAAGTATTGCAAGTGAACTTCTTGAACAAGCTGTGCAACTTGTTACAAATGATAACCTTGACCTGGGTTGTGCAGTAATCGAACAGGCTGCAACAGAGAAGGTAAGCCTGTTCTTTCATTTACTTTCCAGTTCCCTTCTTCTTCGGCTTCTACTACTACTACTGGTTCTGCTGCTACTTATACTTCAATCTGACATAAATGCTTGCACCTATTGCTGAGAGGCATTCTTAGGTACAATGTGTTTTTAACTGTGTGCTGCTAAGGCAACTTGGTAATTCTAGGAATTAAATGTGAAGTTCTTGTGCATAGTTTAACGGAAACAAAATGATTAAACATCCCCAAGAAAAAACAAAAGGAAGTGTTCATTTATAATGAAATAGTTGAATGGCATAAATCTTCTTTTCTGAATGTAGACAATGACAATTTTGATTATAAAATCTGTGTTCATGTACTTGTAGGTGGATGGTGGACCTTACTGTGGACTTCAAATTGTTTTTTTTTTTCTTTTGTATTTGATGGATGATTAATCAAGCAATAGTTGTATTAAGTTTTGTAACCCTATTTATTTAATGATGGTCTCCTTGTTTCTCTGGTTTGTGGCAGGCACTACAAAGCATTGATGGAGAAATAGCTCAGCAACTTTCTTTAAGAAGGAAGCACAGAGAAGGTGTTGGTCCAACTTATTTTGATGCGAGTACTTATACACAAGGTCCTATGGGTGTGGTTCCAGAGGCTCTCCGCCCCAAACCTGGGCGGTTGTCCCATTCCCAACAGCGAGTGTATGAGGTATCAGACCTTTCCACTTTGCTTGTAACTTGGTGGTGATTTAAATGCCTTTGTACCGTTTAATTACTTCATATTTTTAAAACTTTTCCCTTCTCTGTGTATTTAGGATTTTGTTCGGTTTCCTTGGCAAAATCAACCAAGCCAGAGTTCAAGCACCATTGCTGCTGGTTCACCTGTGTCATCTGGTGGTTCAATTAGCTCTGGCCTCTCTCGTGCTTATGGTTCAATGTCAGGGCAGCTCAGTTCAGGGATCTATTCGTCTGTGCAAGGGGGCCAAGGATTCAGTGCTGTGGGACAGCCCATGGATATTATTTCTGAGGAGATGGACGCTGCTTCAACACAATTACTGAGGTGTTTTATTATTATGTATTTCTATTGATTTTCTTAATGAAATCTACAAGGATTTCAGTTACTAATCTACTTTTATTCTCTCCTGTCTTCAACAAATTTGCAGTGCTTCCTCACCTCATATTGGGGTGACTGATGGTGTTATGCAGCACACGTCTGAAATCAATTCTACGGTTGCTTCTTTTCCTCCAAGTGCTGGAGCCCCTGAATTGCTTTCTGTGGAACCCTCACCTTCTGTGAAGGTCTGATAGATTTATTATGTTTTAACTTTTGATTCTGTTGGTGATCCTTGTTCTTTATTTTTGATGCTTATTTTTGATTTGGCTTAAAGGATTCTGGAGCCACTACACAACCATCACCTACAATTTCTGCCGCAGAGCGCCTAGGAGGTGGCATGTCAGAACCGTTATTGTCCACAGGAGATGCTTTAGAAAAGTACCTGCTTGTGGCACAGAAGGTAGAAAAGTTTTCACCTATAACTTGTCCTGTTATGTGTGTTTGTTAGCGCCTGATTGCTGCTTTATGCATGAATGGTAGCTTTCTCAATTTTAATTAAATTCGCTTCTATTCTGTTTTAGTTGGGATTTGATGTACAGCTTTTCTTAATATGGTTGTGTCATACTGTCCCCCTTTCCCTATTGATGTGATCAGCCAGAAAAGCTTTGTATCAATAACTGGTATGAAAAGGATGTAAACCCTTGGGGTATCCCAGAAAAGAAAAAAAAACTAAAGGTAGCTATTACCACAAAAGAGATTCACATTTAACTCATGTGCATAGGGTAGGAAAAATTAAAGAACGATACAATCATCTTCACATGTTAGGACCCCATATCAATTCACTTACTAGATATCAAATTGCCAGATCTTGAAACAAATATGAATGGGGTCCAGTGTAGTATTTAAATGAGAGGTTCAAACTGGCACCAGAAACACTATTGCCTCTTTGACCTGAGAACTTAGCCTTCAAGATCCTCAAGTTCTCTCCTTCATCCATTCAATGGCAATCGGGGAGTCTCTCTTATCTGTTAGTCTCTCCATAGAAACTGACAGTTATTGTCCCTGCTCTTACCAAGTTTCCCAAGGCAAGGTTGGTGAAGCTTCTCCAATAGAATCCCATCAAACCCATCAAGCTTCTGTAGTGGTATTCACTCCTGATTTGTCTGAGCTTTGTGGAGGCAGATCTTGCCACAGCACCCATTCCTTAAGGCTCAGTTGGGGAAGGGTACAAATACAAATATGTACAGTTCAAACCCTTGTATTCATGAGACAATGTTCTTCAAGCCATCCTGGACCTCCATCTTATTACCCTGTCGCATGTGTTCATATGCATATCTCACACTCACATCCAACAGAGGCTTTTGTGCTTCTTCCTAATGATTTCGTGTTTTCTATTTCATGTGTTTCTTCCTTTTTGTCCCTGAGAACATGATTTCCTGATATATTTTTTGTTATTTCAGCTGGAGGCTTTTGTAGCTAAAGATGCCAGGGATGCAGAAATTCAGGTACTTTTTTCTCCCTTGTAAATTATTTCCTGGTTTTTCAACTCATCCGGTCGAACTGATCAAACTTATAACTGTTACCATCCACCTGGGTATATGACATTACTTTGATCCAAATATCTTTGCATCCTTCACTTCTATAGATCTTTTAGTTTATGGCATTGCTGATATACCTGCACGGTATGTCCTAAATGTTATTTGATTATATACTGATGTTTTTTCAGGGTGTTATTGCTGAGGTTCCTGAAATTATACTCAGGTGCATAAGTCGAGATGAGGCTGCATTGGCTGTGGCCCAGAAGGTGTAGCATCATCCCTCCAAGAATGCTTTATCTTAGTCCTATTTTTGTTCCTGCATTAAATCTACAATAATATTACAGGTTTTTAAGAGTTTATATGAGAACGCATCCAATAGTGTACATGTTGGTGCTCATCTTGCTATTCTGGCTGCTATTCGAGATGTTTGCAAGCTTGTTGTCAAGGAGCTCACAAGTTGGGTATGTCCTTGTTTATCTGTGCTCCTAATTAAAATGCTGTTCTTTCATTTATTAGAGAATAAGGAATATAATTTACTCATGGTTTCCAAGTTCTTAACTATTGTTAGTTGATGTTACATGTTTCACCACATGCTCCATCAGTGTGTATGATTTAGGCCTGCTTATGATTATAATGGGAGTATTGTTAGTTGATGGTATATGTTACCAGGACTTGGTATTGTGGTCTAGAATTATGGTTTTTATGGTTATTGTTTGTCAAGATGTTCTGTGTAAATTTAAAAAGGGTGGCCCAGTGCATGTGGCTCCCACCAATGCGGGGTCTGGGGACGGATAGATATACACAGCCTTAACCCTGTACATACGGAGAGGCTGTTTCCAAGATTTGAACCCTGGTTATCAGGTCAAAATAGCTACACAGCATTGTGCCAAGGCCCACCCTCGTGTTCTTTGTAAATTATTTTTATTATAACAAGCATATCAAGGGATTAATGAATTATGAAGTGTCTTTGTTTAATTCTTCTTTTTCTTTTTGATAAATATCTAAGGTTAGAACTTTTGAGGAGACACGGGGGAGAGTTTTCCTTCTTCTCACTCTCATTTTTTTTATGGGAAACGGTGCTTCTTCTCACTGTCATTTCTTTTTCCTTTTTTTCACTACCTTTTGATAGACAGTAGAAGAAATGTAAAAACTTTCCTATTTATGTCACGGTTCTTTTCTATATTTTTTGAAAAGGTAAGATAAACATGTATTAAAAATAGTAAAAAGAAAGTATCCTTGAAGTGCAGATTGACGCTAGTAAGAGCTCCCAAAAGATTCTGTACATTGAAACACTAGTAAGAGCCCCCAAAAGAGACAACATTCAAAAAAGAAGAGAGGCAGTCACATCCTTGAAGTGCGGTTTGATGCTCAATGATGCTCTTAAACTTCCAAAGATCTGATTTTCCAACTCCTCTTCTTGATTTTCTTTTTAGTCGAAGACCCTTCTGATCCTTTTATCCCAAACAGCCCAAATTACAGCCAGAGGAATAGCTGCCCATGGTCAAACCTCCAATCTTCCAGCTTTCAAAATGGATCCTAACTGAAACAGGCATACATAATTGGAGGTCTATAGCATTGAAACAGCCCAAATTACCACCTTTTGACAAATGCCTTTCCTTCCATGTTGCCAGTTTTCTGTTCACCTTCTCCACTACTGGGGCCTAAATGCTTTTTGAAATGCATTTGGTCCCCAAATTTTCCACTTCTTTTTTTTTTTCATCAATAAGGAAACTTTCATTAATCAAACAGAAAATTAATTACAAAGAAGGGGAGATAAACTTTCTTAACTCTCCCAGCAGAGGCTAGAGCCCCCAAAGTGGTAAAAACCAGAATTACAACTGAGCCCAAAATGTAGATTCCCTAATCACCCCTTGCTTGGCTAACCCATCAGCAACCGAGTTAGCCAGATCCCTTCACCCAGCTGTACTTTATTTCCATTTCCTTAACCAACCACCTGAATTATTTCCTTTCATTGCTGTAGTTCCATAACCCAGCCTTGTCTTCTTTCAGTCACTCTACTACCACTTCCGGATCCCCTTCAATTACAAGCCTCCTAATGTTCATTTCCTTTGTCCTTTGGACACCTTCCAAGACAGCAGAGATCTCAGCCCTGAGTCACCTACCCCAATTGGGCCTGAGAACATGGCCGAGACAGGAGAGTAATAACAGTCGGGGCTGGAAGGAAGTTCATGGGGTATTATGTGAACTGCTGCAATGGTTGGGTGCTAAAAGAGAAGGAAACTTAACAGAAAAAATGAAGATAAACAGTTCTACTAGCCAGGAGAGCAATAATAAGCAAGAGGCTCTTACAGTGACAGCTGGAGCTGGTAAACACAGAATGGGAGCAAATCTAGAGAGAGAAGATTGGGAAAGTAAACTGATAGTTAAAGCATCAGCTTGGATTGTAGGTTGGAGGAAAGTTGCAGATTTGTTAACAGCAAGCTTGAAGTTGAAGAGTACGTTTATCTTAACCCCCTTCGAGAAAGACAAGGCACTGCTGGACTTGCTTGAGAATAGAAGCTGAGGCTTTAAATATCCAAGCTGAACTCGGGAATTTCACAATATCAAGATGGTGTCCAGGGTCAAACTCCAAAGATTTATTTGTTGTAGATGGGGTGCTGGTGCGACTCTTGGACCTACCTTTTCACTTGTGGAAGCAAGAAACTGCTGAAGTCATTGCTCTGATGTGTGGAGGATAACTAGGAGGTTTCTTTTGGGGAGACCTCTACTCAGCTTCCATTTTACTAAATGGAGTAAAACCTGAGGAGATACCTCGGAAGATAGAGGTGCGAGTTGAAGAGTAGTACTCAGTTTGGCTGGCTTCATCCATTGAAGATGTGCTCTGGAAAGAGGCTTGTAGGGAGGGAGATGAGAAGGTTGAAGAAGAAGAATTGCGTGGCAAAAAAGGATTGAATGGTTCCAACAAAAATAACACTTTCACTAAAATGGAAAAACAAATGTTGGAGAAACAAAAAGGTAGTATTCATGGGGAAGGTCTTATGCGTGCAGAAGAAGAAAACAGTTTGGAGGGTGGTCGGACTTTTGCACAGGTTGTAGCTGGTGCCAATATGGCACTTTTAAACAAGGGGCCCATGAAACCAAACCGGGCAATGGGCTAAACTTGCGTGTCTCTATTAAAAGTCACGTGGAGCTGCAAGTCATTAAAACTGGGCCAAGTAATAAGCAAAAGCCCATTTTCTCATTTGGGCTAGGTAATAAGCAAGGGGCCCATGAAAGCTCGCTGGGAAGAATCTTAAAGGAGTCACGTGAGCAACTAAAAACTCACGTGTTTGATTAGGGGGGAGCTTTGCTAGACAAGACAGTTTGTCTATCATCATCGTCGTCTCGCCCTTCGACTGGTAGTTGCTCGCTACAATGGACTCCAGTCAAGAAATAATCGAAGATCTCGCTTGGTAGACGAAATCCGAGGTGTGTAAAGCAGAAGGACCTGCCGGTTTTAGAAGAGGGGGACTGGTCAGACGTGGAATCCAGTGAAGGTATTGATATGGAGGGCATAGATAGAGGGGGACTGTCGGTCTGCAAGACAAAGGGGTTTTTTGGAGGATAACAACCTCAATACAGAAATTCTCTTTCTAGAGGAAAATACTTTTGGTGGAGGCGAGGTTGACACAGGTAGAAAGGCTGAAACGTCGGATACAAATGCTGTGCAAGCTGCACCTTCCATAATCGAGGGAGCTGATCAAAGAGAGCAGTTCTGTACGGGGATTGGCTCAGAGAGACAAGACTCCCCTAGGTTATGTGAAAGTAGATCGAGAATGGAGATGCAGATACAAGGTCAGCTCTTGATAAGATCAGAAAGGGTTTCCAATCTAACCCAAACCACTTCTCTGCCTTGTCCAACCAGTGGGAACTCCTAGGCCTCAACTGCTTTGTCCCATCCCAAAGGCCCTTGTTGTGCTACCTTGTCTACTCTTCAGCCAGGTATGTGTGTCCCTTTGGTTTATGATACTAACTTGTGTGTTGAGCCTTCTGTAGATACCCCAACATCCTTTCAAGAAGGGGGTGGTGACAAGTTAGAGGGTGGAAAGGAAGGTCCTAGAGAGGGAAGTAAAGAACCGATGGTTTGTGTTGTTAGAAAAGGTAGGGAGGTGGAGAAAGAATTTGGGTGGATTTGTTCGGATTACGAGGAACACAGAATTAGAGAGGGCTATGTGGAAGGGAATTTGGGAGAGGATTGGGCTAGGAAGGAGGTTGGGGTTGAAGGAGACAAGGAGGGCGAAGGGGTAGGACCGAGTAGTGGCATGAAATTGAAAGGGGGTGATTTTAATGGGGGGAAGGAGGAGATAAAGAAATATTGTAGGAAAAATGAAAAAAACGAAAGAAAATAAAAAGAAAAAAAGGTTCAAGGTGGAAAGATTCTCTGTATCTATCAAATTTAGGAATGAAGAAGATGGATTCACGTGGGTAGTAACTAATGTGTATGGTGGTCCCAACTCCCACGGAGAGGAATGAAATGTGGGAGGAGTTGTTTTTAATAAAAGGCTTATGGGATGGTCCATGGTGTGTGGGAGGGGACTTTAATGTAATAAAATTTTCAGATGAAACAAATAACCCCCATCAGTCAATCACAACAAATATGACAAGATTTAATGAGTTTGTAGAAGATTGTGAATTGAAGGAGATTCCACTGCTAACCTCCAGGAAAACCCCTTTGAGCTCAAAATTGAATAGGTTCCTCTTCAACCTAACTTGGGAAAACCATGGGTCAACTTGGTCTCTAGAGCTCTGCCTAGGGTCACTTTGGACCATTGGGGCAACTTGGTCTCTAGATCTCTTCCCACAATGATCAGCACACTGCAGCCCTTAGGAATCTCCACATAGTCCTACCCCTCTTCAAATTTTCCACAATGCCCAGGGTTCCCAAATTTTCCACTTCTTCTACTGCCATAATCTCATTTTTAGCAAGATTGACCTTCAAACCCAAAACCACCTCAAACCAAACTAACAAGTATCTTCAGTAAATTGCTTGTTCAGCTTTGGCATCACAAAAAAATAAAGTATCACTAGGGGTGATTCGCTGGCTAGTTTCATTTTGTCCTTTATCTCTGGTGCAATTAGGGAATAACAGAGCATTTTCCTTTCAGAATGTCCACAATGACTGATATGGTCGTCACTTTGGTTGGCCAACTTTTTTGGTGATCTCAGGCAAAACCCACCAAAATTGTCAAATGTCGTCTCTGAAGTTCCATGTGTTACAGAACTGAGAGTGGGATCTAATGATGGAGCTTTACAGATATTCTCTTCTCCAATATATATTTATTGAGTTTAAATCATTCTCTCCAGGTTATTTACTCAGATGAGGAGCGGAAGTTTAACAAAGAAATAACAGTTGGCTTAATCCGCAGTGAACTGCTAAACCTTGCAGAGTACAATGTCCACATGGCCAAGCTTATTGATGGGGGAAGAAATAGTGCGTAAAGAAATTTTGCTTTACCACATTAGTTTTGGAAGTATTTGATATCTAATAATTGCATTTCATGTACAGAGGCTGCAACAGAGTTTTCCATTTCTCTTCTCCAAACGTTAGTGGTTCAGGAATCAGGTGTCAGTGTGTCAGAACTCCACAATCTTGTTGATGCTTTGGCAAAGGTCTGACTCTATTCTTTTCTTGTAATTTAATGTTTTCCCTTCTTTAATATTTTATATCACTAATTGATAAATGGTTTCAAGTTTCAGCTTGCAATGAGACCTGGATCACCTGAATCTTTGCAACAGTTGGTTGAGATTGCCAGGAACCCTGCTTCTAATTCCGCTGCTCTGTCTGGTCTAGCTGTTGGCAAAGATGATAAGGCCAGGCAATCTAGGGACAAAAAGGTCAATAGAGATTTCAGTTTCTTGTTGACGACTGATAGAATATAAATTTATTGGGTGCATCTCTAAGATTCTTCTTAGGTACATTTTAGCTGTGTTTCTGTTTCAACAGGTACCTTCTGGTCGTTCTATGTCTGGTAGGGAAGACTATAACAATGCTGAATCTGCAGCGGATCCTGCTGGTTTTCGTGAACAGGTATGTATAACTTGATTCCTGTTCAATGAATGTCTTATATTCATACACATACGAATGATGGAATGGTTAATTGTTGTCTTCAAAGCAATCTTATTTTTTCTGAATTTGATATTGGACATAAAATAAGTTTTTATCATTTTAGGAATTTACTCCCTCGAACATGTAATATAAATGTGTGCATGTATTCATGTCGAAATTGCCACTAGATGAGAATTATTTACCTGTTGGATGTTTTCTTCAGCCTTTCTCTAATGCTTTTCTTGTTCTGTTGATTATATTCCAGGTTTCTGTGCTCTTTGCTGAATGGTACCGTATTTGTGAACTTCCTGGTACAAATGATGCTGCTTATACCCATTATATTTCACAGCTACAACAGAATGGATTGCTTAAGGCAGATGATATGTCAGATCGCTTTTTCCGCATCCTTACAGTAATTTTCTTCACTTTGTACAATATGTATTTCTTATGTTTGACATTATAGGGTATCCTAGTTATAGTAAGTAGGATCTTTTTTATTGCAAAACTTCTGCTAATTAAGTAATTCTGCAGTATTAATGGAATCAGTTTTTACCCATCTAAAGAAAGGAATTTTTTCATTGGTAATAATTTTATTAATATTCTAAGAAAGCCTACCAAACAATTTTTTTTTAGGGCTGATAACAAGAATCCAATTTGATTGGCCATTCCCTCTTTGTAGTCACGTTTCCAATAGAAAATAAAGTCAACATCAGTAACAATCTTACAAGGTGTTTCTTTTTCAGGAACTTTCTGTGGCACATTGCCTCTCATCTGAGTCACTGCAATCACCTCAACAACTCCAACATTTATCTTTTATTGCTATTGATATGTATGCAAAACTTGTAGTTTTAATCTTCAAGGTAAAGACATTTAACTCTGCATCTGATTCCATGGAATTTTCTTCCTCTGTGTGGATCTTACTGTTATTGAAGCTTTACCTTTTTCCTTTTTGTAATTGGTGGTTAGTACTGTGTGGTGGACCAGGGATCAAGCAAACTACTACTACTGCCCAAGGTTTGAATCCTGTAGAGTGACCTTTATTTCCTTTTTCCCCTTGAGTATCTTGAAGCAGTACTTTATTGCAGCATAAGTGTTATTTTTGGCAGATCCTGGCTGTGACTGTTAGAGTCATCCAAAAAGATGCGGAGGAGAAGAAGGCATCATTTAATCCAAGGCCGTATTTTAGATTGTTCATTAACTGGCTCTTGGATCTTGGTTCTCCAGACCCTTTGCTAGATGGTTCCAACTTCCAGGTATGGGTTTCTTTTTTTCCCTTAATTATTATTTGTATGCATAGACTGACATAAGATGGTATCTGCAGGTGTTGACTGCATTTGCAAATGCTTTTCATGCATTGCAGCCTCTTAAAGTTCCTGGTTTCAGGTTAGCATTGATACCTTTATCTTGTGATAGTGAGGAATTCAGGTTGCTACAATCTGCGACTGCAGTTAGCTTTTATATATCACAATATGACAAAAGATGAACATGGGGTTATTTGTGCAATTACATTGAAGTGAAGATTGGTTTGTTATCTTATCATTTCAAGGCAGACATTGTGGCTCACAGTCAGGGCAATCAATGGAGCTGGTTGACTCAATGACTGCTCTGCTGCCATGTTCATATTCAATGGGTTTGGCTTGGCAAAATGCTCAAAATCCAAAATTGTCCAGATATGGGTTTGCTTCTGTCGATCTTAACCAGATCTGAGTTGGATATGGGTTTGGGCATTTGACTCACTTGTATCCTAATATGTTCATTATTTGCATGAAATAATTAGGATATGGATTTAGGCATGTTAATGCACGTACTAATCAAAGTTATAGACTTTGCGTTATATTTGAGGAGAATTAAGTAAATCTATAATAATCCACAGTCTGATTAAAAGGGTTGGTCTGGGTTGGGTTATTAAACTGGGTTGTATATGGATTCTGGTATTTTATCCTGCTAGGGGTGTAGCTTGGGTTAAGAATTTGACAAAATTTGTTTGCACCCGTCCTTTCTCCAGCCCAATAACCTGGGCTCAAAGATGCACTTATTCAACTTGGGTACCTGACTTGCACCCCTATATTCAGTTGATCTATGTGTCATGGCATAAACATTTTGGATCTGGGTCTGGATATAGTTAGAACTGCTTCAGATGTGATCTGTTATTCTGTTGCATGCCTTACAGAGCTATCATTTGTTTCTGATTTTGGCAATTGCAAGAAGCTCATGCAGATTGTGGTGTCTAAACTTTACTTTTACCAATAGTCTGGTACTGCTTGGAATAATCTCATGTTTTCATCTTTAAATGGTATTATGATTGAGCATATCTGGATCAAAGTACCGGTTGAAATGGTCTTTAATATACACTGAAAGATTGGGATATGGTCATATGGCGGACTAATTGCATTTGTAAGAGTTGTTATTTAAAAGAAAATGATATGCAACTATTTGTCTTAGAATATTTGGATGCTTCATAATTAAAGCAGAAGAGGGAGTTTTTTTTTTTGAAATTGAAGAACAATACAACCTGGATGTAGTTTGGAGAATTGTGTGTGGGTGTGGTGGAATGTTTTTCTAGGGTCCTAGCACATCCTTTGGTAGTTTTTTAGAATATTGTGTGCATATATATATATATATATATTTCAGTATTTACTCTCTCAATTTATGTATTACTAAATGCTGCATGGACATGCACATGGGAATCACAATCTGGCACATGCCCGGAAGTCTGACAGCAAGACCAAAGAACAAGGACTTGTGGACACATCCATAAGAAAGTGTAAACTATTAAAATAGCTCATATTTTTCTTTTTTTTTTTTTTATTTAAATTCTACCTTTCTATAGAGAGTAGCATTCATTGTGTACATAGATATTCGCGTATTCAAATAAGCACTGAGAGAAAGGAAAATCTTGTAGAAGTGCCCCTCAAGAACCCATGGCATGTCAGTATTTGACTCATGTCCAACATGGATACTTCATCCATTTACAAGAAGTTATGCATCACTGGGTCATTACTCTAGTTGGTAAGATTAACAATTTTTTCTAGTGTTACTCTTTGTTTTTTAAATTAGAATTCTTCCAGTATTTCCAGTGTAGTGGAATAAACCAATTAATATTCCCTTTGATCTGAGATGATCTGCTAAAAAGGGGGTTATGGGTACGTGTATATTTACCTCAAATTGATCTCAGGATTGCAATAACTCCAATCAGTGGTTTGGGAAGTGCTCTATCATTTCCTTTGTTCATATTAGCTTGTGACTTGTCTGAAAATATCCATTTATCTGAATTTAAATTCTAATTTGATCCTGTGAAAAGTGATCTGATTTTGATCCATTTATAATTGAATTGAATATGGATTTGAGGGTTTATTAGCTATATCCACTTCTCCGTCCTTGTATGGGTCTGCCCTTTTTTATTTCCTGGTTGTGTTATTCAAGGGCCTTGAACAAGGCAGGGTCGCTCTTGTTCCCTCTTTAGCTCTCCTCATCCTTTTGGTGGGCGTCCTTATTTGACTAGACATCCATCTTGGGCTTAAAATCTGGGATCTGGGATTTGTCTGTTTTCTTGGTTGGGTGGGAAGAGGGATGATGATGGCTACATGAAATTTCTGTTTGGAGAAATCTTGGGCCATCAGTAGTTTTGGACCCTTCCTAGACAGATTCATGAGAAAATTGGTTACTTGGAAAGAAGATTTTCCCCTAAGAAGTAGGAACATGCTCTCTAATGCACATAGTCCAATCTCTTGTCAAGTAGTAGGGGCCTAGGACTTGGGAGGCCTAAGGATTGGAACACTTCTCTCTTGAGTTGATGGCTTTTGGAGATCATCTATTGGTTGGGATAGTTCGTGGTATTCTACTGTTATGGAATAATCCAAAAATGCCCACTTTCCACCCCTTAATTAGTTGTAATGATTCAAGTCCTTGTTTTACTTTTGCTTTGATAGGCATCTCATTGGTTTTACTTTTTTTTGCCACAAATTTTCCTTTGATTTTGAGGTTTCCATAAAGGAGTCAAGTGACCTAAGTCAGGCCACTGTTGCTGCTGCTGCATCATGATGAACCTATGATAAAAAATCAAGGAACCCTAGGTTATTTGCTAATAGCAATGAAAAGGCACAATGGAAGTTTGAATGGGGAGATAAAGGCTTTTTATCTTTGGAAACTTGATTATTAAAATTCTATTAATAAATTGGTTGGTTATTGATAAAAAAGGCAATGAACAAGCACCAAAATTAATAGGTGTTAGGTTACTTTGATAAACAACACTGTCCTCTTGGACAGTGAGTAGTCCTTCGAGTACTTGAGAGAGATCTGATTAGGATCAGATCTAGAAGGAGACTGCATAAGAGAATCTCTGTTTCAGCTCGTTGGTGGAAGGACATGCATTCCTACAGGGTTCCATACTTGCACATTGCTGATTGTACAAAAGGTTTGTTATGGTTTATTGACTAGTCACTTTAATAACACTGGCCTTTCTTTGAAAGGTTTGTTATGGTTTCTCATTCTTGGGAAGGTAGGTGATTTATATTTTTTGTCTTTTCAGTACTAAAAATCTTTCATTTGGTTTCTGGTAAAACTGTTAGAGCTTTACTGACCACTGTTCTTTTCGTTAGATATTTTTGTGTATGTGTCTGTTGTAAACCTTCTTTGTTTATTTATTGTTATTTTTCTTTCCCCTTCTGCTTTGAGTGGTTAATAACTTGATTAATTGCTTTCAGCTTTGCATGGCTTGAGCTTGTAAGTCACAGGAGCTACATGCCAAAATTGCTTACTCTCAACCTTCAGAAAGGTTGGCCTTTTGTTCAACGCTTGCTGGTAGATCTGTTTAAATTCCTGGAGCCATACTTGCGCAATGCTGAACTGGGAGAGCCGGTTTGCTACTGTTTTCTTTTGTGATTTTTTATGGTTTGCGAATGATCTATTTCAAAAGAACTGATGGTGTTGTGACTCCTTTTGTATTTATCTTTACAGGTTCACTTTCTGTACAAGGGCACTCTGAGGGTTCTACTGGTTCTTCTGCATGATTTCCCTGAGTTTCTATGTGATTATCATTTCAGCTTCTGTGATGTCATTCCTCCCAGTTGCATCCAGATGAGGAATGTTATTTTGAGTGCATTTCCACGGAATATGAGGTTGCCTGATCCCTCCACTCCCAACCTAAAGGTATATACTTCATCATAGGTTCTTTTCATCTACTTTCCTGAACTTGAATGCACACTAACCGCAGAATGAACTAATTTGATGCCTTTTTCTATTTCCTATGTTCAGATTGACCTGCTAGCAGAGATCAGCCAATCACCACGAATCTTATCTGAGGTTGATACTGCTCTGAAAGGAAAGCTAATGAAGGGCGACATAGACGAGTATCTCAAGGTATTGGAGTTGTTTTCTTTGCTATCTTATCTGTCTTGGGACAAAATCTCTTTATCAAAAGCTGATAAAAAAATCTCTTTATCAATAGTTGTAGAGGGGGGTGTGACACAGAGAACTTTAGAGAGGGGGTGCTGGGTTTCACACAATTTTTTTTTTTTATTTTTGGGTAGAGAGTGGAGAAGAGGGGAGAATTGGAACACAGAAGGATAGGTGGGAACTGGGAAGAAAAAGTTTGAATCTGACAAGGGAGGGAGTTAATCTCTCTATTATATAATGTTTTTAGAAAAATGAATTTTTTTTGGGGGGGGGGGGTTCCTATATTTATTCTTTGCAGTATCGTTTGTCTTTATCTTTGGATTTCCCACCTAGCAAATTATGTGATTCTATTTTTTTTGTAATTCTGTCTCCGGTATTCCCTGCAGACAAGGCAGCAAGGCTCTTCTTTTTTGGCAGAGCTGAAGCAGAGACTGCTGCTTTCTCAAGGGGAGGCAGCACAGGCTGGGACTCGGTACAATGTACCTTTGATCAACTCCCTTGTACTATATGTTGGAATGCAGGTATTTTTTTCCCCTCTGTTGATAAATCAATCTCCATTTGTATATTAATGAGGAAAATTGATATTCATGGTTTTTAACGATGGAAAATTCCCAATGTCAAGTCCCTTGTTGTACTTGATACATTGGTTCTTTTAATTAATACAATCTTAAAACTTTACCTTCTCTCAAGAAAAAAAAAGGACCAGAAAAAAAATTCAACTTGTAAATAAAGTACCTTTTAAGCCGCCTCCTTTGAAAAAAATTCAATTCTTGCTTGCAGCTGTAGAGATAAAAATGACTTGTAAAAGTACTTTCTGCTATATAATAAATACTAAATCTCCAATATACTCTCATATTCAATGTGTGTTCACAATGGAGTGGACCATTTAGATGATAGGGTCGGTGATTTTAAAGAGAGTTGTTTTTTAGATTTCTGAGGCTTGGCTGCTACCGACTTGTTTAGCCTCCTTTCCCTGTAAAATAGGAGAAATTCCTAATTCCCTCTGAACTTCGCTAATTACTTTCTCAAAATTTTTTCTATCGATATCATCCATAAAAACTTTTTTGATAACAAAATCAAGACAATGTGGCATGCGTCCTTTCCCTTAGCCAATTTGTTTCTTTTCTTGTGATCACTCCCTCTTTTCATCTCTCTCTCTCTGAAATATGGAATTCGCCTTTGCCTCGTGTATGTACTAATCTTTTACAAACCAGTTGGTTGATACCCTTGCATAAAATTGCTTTGCAATAGGTGGGATCTTGACTTGTTGGCATACACACACCTGGCTTTTTTATGTTCATTATATTTATATGAACTGCTGCTGTACTGGCTTTAACTGGCTTTGATTACTTGTCAGTCTTGTCTCATCTTAAAGGATTGTACACGAATCAAAATACGCATTGTTTTGTCACACATATTGGTGAACCCTACTGTAATTGGTGTTTCTTTTTTTTTCTTCCTATCTTATGATATCTTACCAACTAATTGCAGGCTATCCAGCAACTTCAGGCCAAAACTCCATCGCCGCATGCACCACCAATGGCTCAGGGTGCTTCCATGGATATTTTCTTGGTTGGTGCTGCCATGGATATATTCCAAACTCTGATAGCGGATTTGGATACTGAAGGGCGTTACCTCTTCCTCAATGCAGTTGCTAACCAGCTGCGCTACCCAAATAACCATACTCATTACTTCTCATTTGTCCTTCTTTATTTGTTTGCTGAAACAAATCAGGTGAGCTCAACATCCCCCATGTCTCACCCTGAGAAGGACTTACAAAGTGTGTGTGAGAGAGAGAGAGAGAGAGAGAGAGAGATTATAAAAAAGAATGGAGCTACATACTCATACATGCAAAGTGGAAACATCTTTTAGATTGCCTTCGCATGCTATATCTTAAGATTCTCCAGTTCTTTTGTCCTAGGAACTTAGGATTGACCTCTTTTGGCTTATGTTTTTCAAAGTGTGCATTTTAGACAGATGGTATTCAATAAAAATTCTGATAATCTTTTTTCCCCTATTCTATTTTGCACAGGAAATCATCCAGGAGCAAATAACAAGAGTGTTGTTGGAACGCCTGATTGTCAACCGACCCCATCCCTGGGGCTTGCTAATTACATTCATTGAGCTCATCAAGGTAATTAAAAGGCCTCTTCATTCCTAAGCTCTAGACCGCATCTCATGTTCTTTGTGGTTTAATTGGCCTGCTTGCATTTCTGCAGAATCCTAGGTATAACTTTTGGAATAGGTCATTCACAAGGTGTGCGCCAGAGATAGAGAAACTGTTTGAATCAGTCTCAAGATCATGCGGGGGTCCCAAACCTTTGGATGATGCTATGGTTTCTGGTGGGATTTCTGACAATGCACATTGAGTATTAGATTAGGTTTTGACACAATTCACAAACCGAAAGCAAGCGCATGGTGGTGCATCATGGGCGCACTTGGAACGTAGACAATTGTAAATTAGTAACCCTTCTAGAGGGGGGTGTCCTTTATTTGTATAGTCTCATTTTTGTCCAAAGGCTTGTTTAGATATGTTCACATTTGCAGCGGCAGATGACTGGTTCTTCGATGGATGTTGGACGAATGGGGATCTAGTGATAATTATGGTTGTTGATAAGTTGAAGACTCCAGTTTTGGAGCTGCACCATAGTTGAAAGTTGAAGCATTTTATTTTGGTATTAACAAAGATGAAACACTTGGATTACTGTCATTGAGTTGCATGCAATCTTACTATCCATTTCATTCCTCAAAAATCTTACTGATGCCGCAATCAACACCCTTTGCGTCGAAGATGTGTTGGTTCTTCCATTAGAATCTTACAAGGTGCAGACGACGGTCCGCAGGTTTTGTAATCCCTTTGTAGAAATTGAACTTAAAAAAACGTTTTCTAATCGGTCTAGTCGTGTAGTAAGAGAATGAAGTGGTAACTTGGTAATCAATCCTGTGGTATCTATCAAAATTCACTTGGGTGGGGGTTGTTGATTGGTCAAATGTTTGGTTATTAATGATCTATCGATCAGAAAAACTCTTAATCCTTTTTCTGCTGCAGCCATTATGGAGCTGAAACGTCATTAATATCTTAAACATAATCATTTTAGCTACTTTTGCTGTTATCAAACGGCCCCTTGGTAGTTCAAAGGAGATGAAAGGTGTCAACTTGGTGGGTGTGGATTAATCCACTTCTTACCTTGTGGAAGAGATCAATCCACATCATATTACTACTGTTCATATTGTTCTGAATTGTGGACATTACGTAGATTTGACTAGTTCATACTTCATGCACAGTGACATTTTGTAGGCATGGTGTGAGATTGTGGGTTGATTTACATCACTTTTTGATTTTATCACTTTTTGATAAAATAATGGATTGTATCAAAACAGAGTGTAGAATGTTGTAGATGGCCATATCCACAGATAAAAACGCTATACGTTTCCCACTTTGACCCTCCTGTTCAGTTTAAAAAAAAGAATTATTGTTCGTATATGTTTCGGGTCGTGTGGACAGGTGGCAAAAATGTTCATTCTAACATATCTGGTGGATCGGTTCATTAAATGGGGCAGCGAATGGTATACATTTAATCTAATTCAAAATTCAAATTCTGAATTTGAATGGTATTGCTTCTTGGGTTAGTTTTTAATTTTTAGCTGGGTTGCTACTCTAATTCAAAATTCAAATTCTGCATTGGTTGGTTCCAGGTATAATTTTCTTCTTTAAGTTGTCTTAGGTTACAATTTACAAAGAAAGTAAATGAAAGGAAAAGCAAATCTAAAAATGATTTTCCCAAACTAAAACTAGTTTTGCTTTTTTCTTTTCAAACATTTGTCAAGCGTTCTTCGAATCCAAAGGACCCAGCTTCGCTTTACATTGCTAACTAAAGCAATAACTAGTAGGAATTTCGTGCCAAAGAGTGTCAGCTCCTCTGGGAACAAATTTGATTCGGTAAATGAAGATGTTGGGTATTCAAACCATGGTGACTGAGGAGATGGCAGTGGAAATGCATTCATTGGGTATTTGTTTTGCTTTAATTGCATTGCTTTGTGTAGTTATATTTTGGTAATTGGTATACAAACAGGCTATCAGATGCTGAATAGCTTAAGCCATATTCTTCGGATCCTGTCTGCAAATTTAGAGACTTTTGATACTTTTTTGGCCATCAAACGCCTCTCCCTTGCCTTAGTTTTCTCAGCTTTCCCTCGGGTAATTGTAACTTTCTTCTGCATCTGCTCCAGTGCTTTTTCCCTTTCCTTTTGCAGCTTGTTCTGCAATAGTCAATACTTAATGTTCAGTTCTGCTCTGATCCACATTGACCAACTGATCATTTCTACTTTTAATGTTCAGGCTACCAGTGTCAATCGAAACAGGGGTCTGGTCTCTTGTGGTTTTTGCTCAGTTGTTCGACCCAGAAATTGGAGGTAATTTACTAATTTCATGTTGGCTGGGAGACAGTAATTCGTAGTTCCATACCTCGAGTTTCTGCACCTTGTTCATCGCCTTGGCGGTCTGCTTCAACTCCCATGAATTGATGGCAGCCTCTTTTCTTCTTAGCCTGCTCATATGAGTCAGAATCATATAAGAAGATCTAACTGGACGTCCTGATGAAATGCAGGTTGGGTTTCTTTCTTTCTATCTGCAGGTCTGATTCTACTTGGCGTAATCCGTTCCTTTTGTCACCTAACTATTACCAGAGGTACAGACTTCTGCATATAAAATAAAAAAATTCATCAAGAAATGCAGGTTGGGTCTCTACCTTTCCATGAGCTTCTGCTGTTTCGCTTCTTTCCATGCGTTAACCTCAAATTCCTTCTTCTGCATTTCATCTGAGAAGGTATGGTGAGGTTTCGGCCGGATGATCAAGCTATAGTGTCCACCAATCGGGGTTTTGGTATCAGAGTCCCCGGGTCTGCGTCTGCATGACTCTGTGTAGCTCATTTCTTCGGTTTGTTTTTCATTAATGATCAGCAGTTTCATGTTGAGAAGTGCAGGATCCATGCTTGCATCGACATATCCACTAGAGGGGCTGATGCTCTTGGGACTGTTATCTGGTTTAGCATCTTCCCCATCTAATCAGTAAATTCATTAGAACATAAACCATTTAGGAAGCAGTATTCTTTGAAGAGTCAAGTGTCAAGATCAGAAGATGCAGAAAAAGAAGCCAGAGATCGAAGCAAGAGGAAGAACCTTCAGAATAATCGCTCTGCAAGTTGTGATTACAAGAGCAGAAAGTATTCGCATGCTCCATCTCTTCGTCTATCTCGATACCGGAAGCCGATTTATTATCATCAATGGAGAAGGTGTAGAAACTCTGAGTAGAGAATTCAGAGAGATAAGAAAGCCACAAACAGACTTCAGAAGGAGGAAGGGAAACAGATATAGATGAACTTGGGTATCTTACATTACGATTCAACTAATCATAAAAAGAAAACCTACCCATTAATCCAAACTGAACGAGAAAATAAACTGAGATTATAGAGAGTTTAATCGACCGGGCACCTGGTTTATTGGAGTGGAGAACTCCGTCGAGACCTGAGAGTAGAAGAGGTCTGGGGAAAGAGAACTCGAGCTGCATATTGGCGATGGTGAATCGGGGAAAAGGGCTATGGATGAAGCAATGCTCCACGGTGGGCAGATACCCGATGAATCGCGCGTCCATGCGGAGAGCTGTGAGTTGTTAAAGGTTTTGGGAGAAAAACTGCCAATTCGCGATTCTTTGTCTTCGAGAAACAGAAACTCGGTCAGTGCTTGGGAAGGGGAACTGATGAGCCTGAGTTCATCAGACCATATTGTTCTTTTCTGAGTCATCTTCTTGGAAGGTTTCTTTGGATTCTTGAATCTGGGTTTTCTCAAATTCGTCTTGCTTCTTTGAATTCCTGGTTTACTTCTTCAAATCTTCTAATATTCAGAGACGAGACTAGGGAAAGAGAGTTCAGTTGTTGTATTAATTCTAAAACGATTTACGGTTCATTTGGTTGGACTGGTTGCCCACTTTGTTCTCTTTTCTGCGCTCCCGCTCTCTTCCTCTTTTGAAGAGGAGACCCATACGCCCACCTGGGATGATCATGGACCGGGTCGGGTTGGTCCGGGTACATTGAGTAGCAATTAGTAAGAATTTTTCCCGCCCGACCCCACCTGGCCCATGCCTTTTCCTGCAAAATTTAGGGCTGGGCCTGGGCCTAATATTTCAAGTCCGGCCTGGCCTATCTATATTTAATTATATGCATTTTATAAATATTATATATATATATATATTATTTTCTGTCATATTGTATATACAAATGTTATGATATGACCAATGTTCAAAGTATTGACACGTATCGGCCTGTATCGGCTGATACGTATCGTGCCGATGGCTTCCTGATATGCCCCTACAAGGGTTTTATCGGGTCAAATCATGATTCGGAGGGTAGACGGGATTTAAATTGACCCCTTTGAACCGATTTTGAAAAAATAATAAAACATAAAAAAAGCACCGACACAGGCCGATACACACTACCGGCATATCGGCCTGTATCGATATTTAGAACCTTGAATATAGCACTTATAATGTATGGTATATAATATTTTATATTATATAATGCATAAGATAAATTTTATTTAGATATTATGTGCCATTTAATATAATATAAATATTATTTGCATATTTGCATAAAAGATACAGGCTCGGGCCTGTGTAGGCCCAGGCCCAGTCTACAACCCTTATCGGTGCAAAGCCCAGTTCATGATCACTCATACCTCAATATATATATCTGAGTCTGGGCTTGCCCTCATTAATTAATAATATATTGTTAGAAATTTGAAATTTGAGTATAAGTTTATATTTAGTTTAAACTATACAAAATATATAACCGTTATAATATATTTATTGAACTTCAGGGCTACCTAGGCTGCTTGCGCCCAAATTTTTAGGGATCGGTCCAGACCAGGCTTAGAGAAACTTTTACCCGGACCTAGAAATTTTTGGCCGGGCCGTGCAGGGCAATGCCGGCCCTAGCAGGAAACGATCAACCCTAAAAAGTGACCTAAAAATTAGGAATTAAAAAATTAAAAAAGGAGAAAATTTTTAGACAGTATGTATATATAATTTTGATAAATTTGAATTACAGCATTAAGGCTGTATAGGAAGCTGTGTAACCAATGATAAAGCCCTTTGCTAGTCATAAAATACATGGACCCACTGAGAGATTCAATGGTTGTGGGCATCGTATGTTTTATGACTGGTGTGGGGGATGTCATTAATTCCACAGCCTGCTAAGCAGCTTTTGCGTTTAGCTAATCCTATGTCTATTTTGATAGCTCTATCAACTTTGGTGAGATTTGAGAGGAATCAAACCATGCATATATTACCGTTTTAGGCTTTATTTAGAGCCCATTTGGGAGGGCTTCTGCGTTAGTTGTTGAACTGTATTGATCAGACCACTTGAAAGAAGCTACATGAGAGTATGAGAGTTTCACTGGAAAGTGGATTTTGTGGCCCAGATTTTTAACAAACACAGCTTTCATGGTGTTTTGGGTTTCTCAGCTCATGGAGAGCTAGAAGCTGCTGCATGAAAGCCCTCCCCAACGAGGTTGTGTAGGTGTTGTTTAACCAATAATAAACGCCTCACCTATGGCAGTTAGGGCTGCATACAGTATCCAATTGTCCAGATAAATCTGTTCATAAATGAATCAAATATGGATCCGCCTGTATCTGATTTACCAATAAAATTTGTTTGAATTTGTGTTTTTACTAATTCAAGTTTCATGCAAATAATTTTCAATTCACTTTATTCATGAAATACAACATAAAAATTATCTTTAATTCATTTTATTAATAATATAATATTTTAATCGTTAATGTGATTGTGATATGGATTTTATTCGAATCAGATGGTTGTGGGAAACAAAACCTTAATAACTTACATGGTACATTATTATTGGTTAAACAGACCTAACACAGCCATTAAGTACAGCTATAATCTGGACTCGGTTAAACTAGACTGGTTTATGGTAGACATGATTTAATGGTCTAATTTTGAGCCCAAACATGGATAAATGATAAATCTTCATATATATATATGATAATCTGGACTCGGTTAAACCAGACCGGACTGGATAGTCGGACCGGAAAAAGCAGGAATTGGTCACCTGATTGGTTTCGTTTCACTCCAAAACTGTGTTTTGGCAAAAAATCATTGATTTAGTTAGTAAACGGCTGACCTGAGTAGTTAAATCATCGACCTGAACAACAGTTTTTGGCCTTTTTTTTTGTTTTTTAATTTTTGTTAGAATAATTTGTCTGTTCAAACTGGATGATCAGATCGTTCAACCAGGGAACCGGACCCCAGAATGATTCCCTGTCTGATCTGATTTTAAAAACCTTGTAGTCAGTAGTTCCATCACCCATGGCACTCAGCCAATCCCACTTGGTGGAGGCAGTACTCAGCGTAGCCTAGTTGGTATCTCTCTTATTGGTGGTTGTGCTCAAACCAAGCAGTGACCTAGCCCTACCTATTACTTGAGTATCCGAAGGGTAGCAAGTGCCAAGACGGATTCCGTTCATACAAAATTGTGCTCACAGTCCTTTTTAGTCGTGCATTGGAAATATCTTCATACTATTATATTTTTTATTTATGGGGAGATGTTCTCAATACACGACTGAAACAAACTGTGAGAATAGTATGAGCACCAAACCCAATTTCAGCAATTGCCAACACGCCAAAGAATGGAGTGAGAATGGTCTAATCCCTGCCCTAGGGTGGGTGGTATGGTATTGACTAGTGACTTTTCACTGGAAAAAAAGGACTAGTGACTTTTCAACATAAAAAGGGATAAATTATAGATAAGTACCCTATACTTTCGGGGTAGTGACAAACCTGAACTTTCAATTGCAACACTTGAATACTCTGAACTTTCAAAAATAGACAAATAGGTCCATCTGTTAGTATTCCGTCAGTTAAAAATTACATAATACCAAAAATACCCTTATCGTGTATTTCTGAGATCATTCTCAGGTAACCGAACATCTCCCCATGATGACGTTCTCACATGGACAGTAAATAACACATTCAAATTTTCTGACAACAACATTCTTTAGTGATGATTTTACTCGGTAGAATGATCTAAAAAATACACAAGAAGGGTATTTTTGACATTATACAAATTTTAACTAACAGAATACTAACAGATGGTCCAAGAGTCTATTTTTGAGAGTTCATAAGGTACTTGAGTATTGCAATTGAAATTTCAGAATACCTGCCACTACCCTCAAAATATAGGGTACCTATCTGTAATTTACCCCCCAAAAAAGGTAAATTATAAAGACCCCCTTGTACTATGGGGTTAGTGACAAAGTCCTCCCTGTACTTTTTAAGACAAAGATCCCCTTGAACTTTAGCCATTAAACAAAGACCCCCTTCCGTTAATGTTCTGTTAGTTAACTTTAAAAAAATTTTCATCCAACTGTTTAAAATCTTTTAAATGTCCAAACTACCCTTTTTATACTGTTCATTGTTTTCTCCATTGAAGTTGGGTGAAAAGGCTACAAACAAAAAAAGGTTGTGATGACTTTAACTTACAATATTGATTGTTTACCTTTTGATGTACCAGTCAGGGCACATGAGGACCAACAAGAACTGCCCTAAGTATGGAGAAGACTTGGAAATACAGGTTGATAACACAAGTCTGGAAAAAGTATCAGGAAAATCTACCACTCTTGATCCTTCTTCCCAGCCCCAGCAAAAAGTTGCAATAAAGAAACTAAAACAAAAGGCCGTGTCAGAGGTTTCTAATGTAGCAACCTTGAAAAATGCTGATAAATTGGGATTGGGATTAAAATTAAAATTCCCCTCACTGGAGCTCAAATGTGGTCCTGTTAACAAATCTTCTAAGAAAGCAATACCTGGGATTATGCAGAGTTTTGAGAAACCTATCACTTCTGATGCTGAAACTGGGACTAAACCTATTACAAAGATGAATAAGATAAAAATTTCCAACAAGATGAAAAATGAAGATATCCTGGTGGAACCTTAGAAGCCATCCACTGTGATACGTCCACCAACAGAGGTAGATAGGAATCCACCTCGCAAGAAAATCATAATTAAGCAGACAAAGACAGTTGCTAATGTGGATCGGGTCAAACAGGAAGCTAGCTCTAGACTGGGTGAAGATTGTCAAGTTTTGAGAAACATAGAGAGAAGGGGATAAAGCAATTGGTTGAAGAGGCATCAAGGAGAAAAGCTGCAGAAGAGAGAAGATTGTGGAAAGAGGACGAAAAAAGGAGATATGCAGACAGGTTGAGAGAGGAGAAAACAAGGAGGCTTTATGAGGAAAAGAAGAGGATGCAGGAAGAACGAAAGTTAGTTGAGATTGGAAGACATGAAGAAGCCAGGCAAAGGGAGATGGAAGAACAGGAAAGACAAATCAAAGAAGGAAAAAAAAAAGAAACAGAGATGAGGAATTAATATTTAGAGGAGCATCCGGTAGTTTGTAGCCATTTCCGTCCACCAACAGAGGAACGAACGGCCCGTTCTGACTCTGCAAGACCAGATATCCATTTCCTAGGTTAAATAGGTTTTAAGAGAAAAAAGGTCAAGAAAAAGAAAATAGAAAAAGTTTAGTGGGGCATTTTGATAAGTTGACGCTTTCCGTCATCTAACTTAACAGCCAAGGGGGCCTTTATCTAATCGCTAAAGTTTAAGGAGTCTTTGATGCAAAAAAAAAAAAAAAGTATAAGAGGACTTTGTCACTGACCCATAGTAAAAGGGGGGTCTTTGTAATTTATCTATAGATCGCCTCTCAAAGAGGAAATATAAGAAATAAGAACGACTGAATGAGAAGAGATATGCATTTTCCCTATTTGTTTATATTTATATTATGAAGCCTCCTGAAGAGGTTAGACTAGTAGACGTACGCTGGCTATAAAGCTGGTGCCAAACAGCCTAACATTGCTTGTCTTCTTGATAATTGAAATACTTCCAAATTTAGTTAATACAGTGGGGTCCTCGTCCTCCTCATTGCATGCCTCAAGGCTGTCAAAATTCGGAAATTTTGGCCCCCGACTCATCATGTTCTGAGTATTGGATTTTACACATGCCTTGTTTTATAGCATATCTCCTGTTTTAAGGGGCGGCAACCGGGAATGGCCCCTCAATTTTTCTTTTCATCCAAAACACATTAAGATCGCATTTATTTTTTGGATTTTTAAAGGGAAATTGGTCAATGAAATTTTGATTCCTATTGATTAAGATACTCATATTCGTTTTTTAGATTCATCTGAAGCAAGTTATACCTATTTTTCAAGTAAAATTAATTTTCCTAGATATCACTTTTTCCGGACAAAATTGTCTAAAACGGTCATTATTTTATTTATCTGATAAACAAAAACATTAATAAATGAGCTTACCTAGGATACTTACATAGGTAAGTTACTTATCTAAGTAAATGATTAAATGAAAAATACAGAGCCTAAAAAGGTAATTTTGAGAGCATTTTTTTTTTGAAATATAAAACACAGCTTTAAAGGATATTTTTGTGCAAAAATTCCAGCCAATTAGCACAAGAATGACTTATGGAAGACCCAAGAAGTAAAAGGTATAGTGAGATCAATTATAGATTAGCTAGCACAAAAATGCTTTTCTGCTTTCTGACAATTTCTTTTGATCAATGCTAGCATGGATGATGCAGATGTTTTGCTTATATAAAGACACTTTGTATCTACATTTAGATTAATGCCCATTCTTAAAATCTCTTGAATCAGTGGTTCCTTTTATTTTTAGGTATCAGAGGAATTCAAAATAAGGTAGGGAATGCTAGACGAGAGTAAACCAGGAGAAACTTGTACAAAACATAGGGTATATAACTATATAACTGTTCTAATATTAGATGGAGTTTGGGAGTGTTTATTTGAAAAATAAGTGCTAATTCTAATAAACATTTATGAGTGTTTGGTGAAAAAGCACTTATTTCAAACAGGGATAGTATAAGTATTTCCAAAATGAAGTGGTGGGCCAAGACAGGCCAAAAAGGAAGTAAACACTTAAAAATAAGCATAAAATTTAGATATATTGGTGTCATCCTGACCCAAAATAAGTATTTATTCGAACAAGCATTTCCAAACTTAACCTTAATAAGATCTAAACAAATAAAACCATTCTTGACCACGTTAATATTTGTAGCTGATGAAGATTCACAGGTAGGAGAGTTAAATGAATGTAATTAATAAAGTCCTGATTTTATCTATTTTGTACAGACAACTTAGGCCTTAGGTTCTGTTTGGTTTGAAGGAAAAAGTAGAAAAAAGAAAGGAAAGGCAAGGAAACCTATAAAAGGGAGGTGGGGTATAGTTGTTATAAATCATAGTGTCAGTTTCGGTTGATGTTTTTAAAGATTTGATAGCATATTGAATCGTGATTTCCCTAAGTGGATTTCAATCCGAATAAAACATAACATGATTTACTTGAATTTGAACCATTTATAAAGACCCATGGGCCACTGCGTTGAAAAGTCAAAATAGTTGAATAATAGAGACCCATGGGCCAGTGGGGCGGCCCCTTAAAATCAGCTTGACATTTTGATACCCGCTCTACAGACAAGACATGTCAAATCGGGTTGGTTTGGTGGGCCTTGTACACGTTTCGCTCTGTCACAAATCCTTAATCCGTATACCATTACTAGATGGAAACTACGATCTATAAATAATTGGGGTTTCCATGCTGTACGTAAGCTTGATCATAACATGCCAATTGGGTAATTGGGTTAACTTTCATGCTTCTTCTCCAACATGTCTTATGCCATTGTCTCTCCTCCCCATTTCATATGTTCATGTTAATCAATGAACAGTAGTAGTCTACTGAATTTGAATGCTGAATAGGAAAGAAGAGACCCCACATCCCTTAGCCAACCTGACATGGGTGATGGGACCCCATGCTTCTCAATTGTATGATCCTGACCATTCAAATCTCACCCACCCCTGGGCCCCACTTCTGAATTATATGATCAAATGGTTTCCGTTTGTCCTAATTCAAATTTGACCTACTTTATTCCTCATAAACCATATTATCAATCACAACTTCTGCTAATTTTTTATGAAAACCCATGTGATTGGTTATTATTTTTGCAATGTTAATTGGTTAGTTGTAAGTTTTTTCTGATATCATGTCTTTTCGATATCATAGTTGAACCCCTCAATTATATGGGGCAAATTACATGAATCCTATCCGGTCATTGCTCATTCCATTCTATATTTCTATTTTATGCCATATCTATTTAAGCCATTTTTATTCTCAATTAATTATTATTTTTTTAATGGTTTTAAGGCATACAATTTAGATTAGTTCAGATTTTTTTTTCTTTTCTAATTAATGCTCTACATTGAATTTGGATTAGCTGCACTTGATGTCTGTTTTAGGGACGCATTGAATTGGGATTTAGCTGTGCATTGGGAATATCTCTCACAACATCACGGCTGCAAAAGGCTGTGAGGACTGTTTGGTGGAGACTGAATCCAAATTCACAATCTTATATGCCAGTACTCCCTAACACAACATCAAATTGCGGCTAATCGGCCTTCTTAAGCTAACCACCTCCAAACTAAGTTTTAATACTGGTTTTACTAGTTCATGAGAAGCATTTGGTTTATTTGGCACATCCACAGCCCGACTAGGCTTGAGCCGTGGGCTGTGTCAAGCTTCCCTTTTGAGGGATTCCGGGCCAGGCAAACACGGCCCGCTGGAATGCTCTCACCCTGCAAAAGTGGCAAAGCTGGTGCCATCTAAGGTTCAAAATATCAATATAGTTCATACGTCCGCAGGGGTGTATTGGACTGTATTGGGGTTTGTTCCTCTATATATATTTTTTTAAATTTATTTTAAAATTGATTTAGAGGAATCGGTTTAAGACAAAAGTCCCCAATACAATACATATTGGCGTATCGAAATTTTGAACTTTGATGCCATCCTTTAATATATTACAATGGCCACCAAAGGTTTTGATTTCATTGTTGCAGTGCAGCGCTATGATATAGGGCTCGAATCTGCTACCCACAAGCTGTTTTGAAATATCTCCCTTGTCATTCATAGGTAGTGATGAATGGTATTACTACGTGGAGATAAGGATGTGGGAACAGTTTGTGGGTTGCAGATCCGGAGTGTAGCAAAATGTGGTTCACTTTCTTTTGCTGGATTGACGAAATGTTCTACAGGTAAAGGTGTAGGATACATTTATATCTGTTTAGTGAATTAGAAGAAAATAATCTAATTGCATGTCAGAATTCAGAACGGACATAATATAAAAAAACAATAGGCAGAGAGAGAGAGAAGGCTACCACTCCCACGAAACACGAATAGTAATCCAAGCATGTTAGGTTACGTGATAGTTTTAATTTGTCTTAAGACTTAAAAATATAGGGAGTTCAATTATTTTCTTCAATCTGTATGTGTATCACCGTACAAACCCAACAACCGCTAATTCTCTCTCTCTCTCACTCTATGTATATATATGATTAAGGGTGGTGTAATGCTCGAGCCAACGAGGGAGAGAGACACAGAGAGATGAGGAGCGAGGTGGAGAAAACAGTGATCAGGCTGAACAGTGGCTCCAAGCTGCCCGTTCTCGGATTTGGCACGGCTGATTTCCCCTTTGATAGACTGAAAGTCGAGTTCGCAATACGAACGGCCCTCCAGGTAAACTAACAGTAGCTGATGATCAAATAATTCTAGCTCTTATTATCTGAATATCTTCCTTAATATTGTTGCTTAATTAGTTTCTCGATCATTGATCTCTATGCTGCACGTACGTACGTAATGGCTAGCTGCTGGTGCAAGTCCAAATGCGGAATCGATTGTTTTCTTTCCTGTTACATATTAATTGTTCATGGTTGCAATATTGCATGAATTATTCCCTATAATCTTTGATGTACGTGTGGGGAGTTCAGTTGGGTTACCGGCATTTCGACACTGCAATGATATATGGTTCGGAGCCTGCCGTAGGTGGGGCTCTAATGGAGGCAATTCGTAGTGAGACGGTGAGCAGAGAAGACGTCTTTGTTACTTCTAAGCTCTGGGGATGTCATCACCACGACCCCGTTTCAGGACTCAAGCAAACTCTCAAGTAAGTAATAACTTCTCTCATCTGAAGAAATGAAATGGTTAATGGTTCTGTGATTCAGTGTCAGTGATAATTAATCGATATTTCTGAATCTGTGTGTTGAGTTGGGTGGTAGGAACTTGGGGATGGAATATGTGGATCTGTACCTAATACACTGGCCAGCCAAATTAAAGGAGTGGGCGAATTATGTAATGCCAAAGGAAGAAGACTTTGGAGAGTTGGAGATGGAGTCGACATGGGCAGGAATGGAGAGATGCTTGGACATGGGGCTGTGCAGGTCCATCGGCGTCAGCAATTTCTCTTGCCGGAAGATTGAGCGACTGATGGAACACGCCTCACTTCTTCCTGCAGTGAATCAGGTACAATGTTTGTGTTTGCTGTTGGTGGACCACGATCACCTACTGCTTCACCTACGTACACCAACCTAGCTAGCTTTTTCATTAATTAATGCTCTAATTAATAATTTCTGTTGTTTATTTTTAAAAGACCAATCTAATTAAGTTTTGAAAATTAAGGGTGCTTGACTTGCTGTTGTAACTCTTGGTCTACTTTCTTTTGTTTTTGTAGTTATAGACAAGAAGCTAGATGGGTCTGTCTGGATTTCCTCTCACTGAAGTGAGATCAAGTTGGACTGAGGGATTTCCCTGAGAAGGAGTGATGGGTAGTGATGTTCTATATATATTTATATCTTTAGCTTTGAGTTCACCAGAACCATAGATTTACACATGTCCTGCCACTGCCACTGCAATCCATACCAACGTCACCATTTTTGATTGCTGCTCAACTTAGAAAATGGATGGATTTGAGATGAATCTCAACTGAAAAATTCCATCTTCTGGATATTCTGATGGAAGAAATCAAGTCTTGTCCCAAAATTAAATCCCATTACCATTAATCAGTATAGATAAGTTGCATGATTGAAGGGAAATGGGCAGGCCAGTCCAGATATATAGACGACATGACAACGCAAGTATCCAAAATTGTGAATTGGGTTTGTCGTTTAGCTTTGGCATTCCTAGAGGCTTACACGTGTATAACATGTTGGGCTTGGTTTAAGTTCGGATCAGCCCCTCTTTGTCATGTAGCAGACAGGTGCGAAGGAAGTGAAGACAAAATAGCAGATAACATGCTGGATTAGAGGTGGAAGCAGTGCCAAAAGTAAATTAATAGGGAATTGGCGTGGGGCACTCTCCTAATTAGCTTTCTTATCTCATCCTCAGCTCATTCCTCAACATATTGATTTCATTTTTCAGTCATCTCTAGTGGACAAATCCCACTATTATAATCAATATCCAAGTGCCTCACAAGTCATTAGAGTGTTTTTTTTTTTTTTGGTGGGGGGTGGGGGGTGGGGGCTGGAAAAACACTGAATTTATTGATTAGGTTTTATGTTGGAGGGCACTCTCATGATAAAATGAGATTTCAAAGTGTCAAAGAATTATTCAACCTAAAAGCTTAAACGGTTATATGGGCGCCCTGAATAGTAGGGGTGTAAGTTGGGCTGGTTTAGGTCAAATTGAGGTCAATCCTAACTAAATTCAAGTTGTTGAACCCCAACCCTAAAACTTTGAATTGGATTGACCTGGCTTCTTTACTTACTTTTGCCAGGGTTCATGTTAATTTAATATTAGCATTTTTATGTGTAAAATAACGTAGTTATTTTGTTTTAGAAAAAAATTGACTAGAATTAAATGTTTTGACATACAATTTACATGCATACATTATATTTAAATATATGTATATACATAACTAGTTGCATACTTGTAAAGAAAAAAAATACATAAATATAAAAATATATGCATTTATTGATGCATAGTTAGATATACATGCAAATATGAAATTAATTTGGGTTTGGGTCGAGTTGGGCTGGGTTGGTCAAGGCTTCAACCTTATGCCAATTTTTGGGCTGGGTTTGAGTTAAACCAACCCAAGTTGCAGCCCTACTAACTAGGTTTTTATTCTCTAACATGTTCCCTCATGCAAAAGCCCATTGGGCTTGAAGTGTTGACAAGAACAGACCCACTCATACCGTGTACTGAAATATAAATAATTATAATAAGGACGGAAGGATTGAACACTAAATCACTTGATCAAATAAGCTTGTTCAAGATTTAAAAATGATATTATTGGAGAGACTAATAAAAGGTCTTAATAGAGGAAATTGAGACTTGGAAAGGTTTTTATTTTAAATTTTTAAAATTTTAATAATTTAATTTAAAATTAAATAACCCCATGTCTACGAATTAGGAGAGAGGGGGGNGGGTTCACTGTCAGCTCTGTGGTGAGAGGACCCTTTGGCCTTATATTCTAGATTTGGATTGATGAGATTGTATCTATCTAACTGTTTATTCTGCCAAAATACAGTTGGGAAAACTGCAGAAAAGTTGAGTGCAAGAGGATTCTAGAGTGTGAGAGGAGATGATAGATTACATACATGGAACTGAAATGATTCATTGCATTTAATGGACAGAAGACACTGTTAAAGGCAACGTACGTGTAATATTGCTGGTTGTGTCTCGTGGGATTTCTCTTTAGTCATCAGTTATGGTTGTTCAACTCAACTGACGAAAGTGCAAAACTCACAACTGGACTCAACTCAGCAACTCATTATTTGTGCCCTTTTGAAGGAATCCAGATTGACTGCACTTGATGATGGCTGTATTAGAGGCTGTGTTAACCAATAATAACACCCCACTTGTCATATCTTGGTGATCATTTTGGTAAACCATTAACTTAATTAATACAGGTGGAGATGCATCCAATGTGGAGGCAGAAGAAGCTAAGAGAATTCTGTGGCGAGCACAACATCCATGTAAGCGCTTATTCGCCTCTTGGGGGACCAGGGAGTCCATGGGGAACAAAGGCTGTAGTGGATAACCCTATCATACGTTCCATTGCCAGTAAACACAAAGCAACCCCAGCTCAGGTGAGTAAAGAATCACATGTCACAACTTACTGCCACCTGGCAAGTTTTAAAGCCTGAAGCCTGTACGTAATTTCTTAATAATTTTGTGACACTATTCTCACTGTTTTGCTTTTTTTCCTATTGCAATATTAATTATAACCTTTTCCCTTCTTTAATTTTCTGGGGAATGCATCAAGGTTGCTCTAAGTTGGGGACTATCTAAAGGAGTGAGTCTGATCATGAAAAGCTTCAACGAAGAAAGAATGAAGGAGAACATGGGAGCTCTGGAGGTGAAACTGGAGAAGGAGGATGTCCTCAAGATTGACAAGTTAGAAGAGAGGAAGATCATGAGAGGAGAATTTCTTGTTAATGCATCTACAAGCCCATACAAGACAATTCAAGATCTGTGGGATGATGAGATATAACAAACCCCACGCTTCAATTCATTTAATAGCTAGTAATCTTAATCTGTTCTAGTTAATGAGTTCCCTTCTTATTTGTTAAGCAGTGTTTTCAATGTAATGTAGCAAAGCTCCTCTGCTCCAGAGGAAGAGAAGAGTGCATATTTCAATTCAACAATTAATTTGAGAACTGAGATGAACGAAATCGATCATGGAAAGTGCCAAAATTAATTGGATTCAGGAGAGAAGATACAGAAGATTTCTTTGCACGTTCCACGCATATACAGAACATTATTTAATAGTTAATGCAGATCTTGTCAACTCATGGGAACAGCTCAGTATTATCACTCTCAAGTATTTAATGCATCTACAATCTATTTAATTGCACTAATCTGAGAAGCTGAAACTTGTCCTGGACTAGATCTCACAGAGACTCAGTACCAGCAGTTATCACGTTAGGTGTGTCTTTATAGTAAGGGATTCTCCTTGGGAGGCCTGTTAAATTAATGTTGTTGTTCTTTTAACATTCTAAGGCTAAGAAAAACTATTGGAGAGGAGCTTTCAGGTTTCACGCTTTCAGACAAGAGATTAATGGAGTATCTTGAGTTGAGTTGAATTCCTTGATATAATTCTTAAATGGGTTAGGAACCTGGTGGGTCTGGGTGCCGAGGAAAGAATGCTTTGTCTTGTGTCTTGCCCTCCCAAATCCCAAAGGGGAGATGGTTGCAGTCAGTGGCTGATCGATCTAGCTAGGAACTTTGGTCAGTGGGGGAAGGCATTATTATATCATCAACTTAGGTGGGGTTTGATAAATTTGAAATTTCAGATCTGAAAAGTTAAAAAGATATTTTTTGTCTAAGAAGCATAGATGATTTTCTACTTTTTAAAGGCTTTGAATAATTAAAACAAAAAATTGAGATTAAAAAAAGTGAATATATGCCTTGAAAACCTAAATCCAAATGTAAAAACCCAATAGGGTTTAAAAAAAGTGAATCCAAGATAACCTAGAACGACATTCTAATTTGAATGCTCGCTAGCAAACAAAGTTGGGATTAAAAAAAATTGCAAATCCAAGACAATAGGATTTCAACTTTCTAGTTTGAAGGCTTGCCAACAAACAATGTTGGGATTAGAAAATAAAAGAAGATCCAAATACATCATCTTTTCTCCTAGATTTTTCTGATATTCTCAAGTATATAAGGATCTAGAAACTACAAAAGAAAAAGGAAAAGAAAACACTGTTCCTAACACAACAATGGTTAGGACGATTTTGAAAAAAAAAATAGCGGCTGTAATTTGTAAAACACCAAGAAAGATCTCCATATATGTGTTTGGTCCTTCAAAAATGTTAGAATGAATAAAGAAAGAAGGGAAAGACTATATATGGTTCGTTTCCCCAATTTGATTACCATACAAAAAATTTTCATATCATAGTGGAGGCAATTGCCCACATTGACATATACATAGATCTGCCTATGGTTTCAGTGTTAATGCAATGGTTGCAGTAAATGAGGATAACTAATGAAGTTTTTCTGATTGAGAAATTTTTGGTTTCGCCCCCTCTCACCTAATCTACATCTACCAATGAAAAAGAGGGAATGATATATTAATAATTTCATTAGTCAAATATATATATATATATATATATATATTAAATGTTGTTAGTTAGTTTGTTACATATATTTCAATTAGCTTACTTAGGGTTTGTTTGGTTCCCTGGAATAAGTGCTTGGAATAAGTGTTTGGTCAGAATAGGATTTTGGTTCCCTTTCATAGTAAAATGGGATTCCCCCATACCATTATAGAGTTTCTTGAAAAGTAAAGAACTCTTGACAAAAAAACCCCCAAACCCTAATATACCTAATGTTAATATTAATATATTAACAAATTAATAATAAAATAATACTAATAAATTGATACAAAATTGAAAAATTTTAGTTGATTCCAATTCCATCTTCCAAATGGACCAAACAATGATTGGAACCCGCTCTGATTACTGTCTAAATCGAATAGGTGTTGCAATAAGCGATTCTGATTCTAATTCCAGGGAATTTCAATTCAGATTTGAATTCCAATCCTAACCACAAATCAAACAGACCCTTACGTTGCACTTGGAAGCGATGTAAATCAAGAATGAAGTAAAAGTTTATACCAGTTCGGTTTTATTGGTGTTTGAATGGAGTGTAAATGAAGATCGATGTGAAACTCTACTTTGGTTTAGATTTGTTGGTGTTTCAATGGAGTGGAGTTTTACATTGTAAATCGATGTAAAACCTCATCAAACCTAAAGTACTATATCGATAAAATCGATATAAAACTTTACACTTTTCTCACAAAGTGTAACGATCACTTTTTCACAGTTCGATGTAAAACGTTATCAGCATTTTACACCAATTCCAAATGCAGCCTTAGTAAATTTGCATAGCGTTAGATTTAGATGTGTGGGATTTAGCTATAACTTAATTAGTAGTCTTATTTAGTGGGAGTTTTTATATGAATTGCAATTTGAAGATGCCGTAAGGCTTGAACAGAGATCAGAAACTGGCAAGGTTGTGCCCTGGCCCATTCATGTGGGACCCTATTTGATGAAATTCTGAGTACTCTTATATGCAGCACAAGTAATGAAGTAAATATCCCTGCAGGGCGTGCATCGGCATTCAATTCATAATTAAATTATATATTCTGAGAGAGAGAAGGAGAGGTGATACAAATTATATATAAAGAGAATTAAGGAGATTGCAGAGCCACAAGAACTTAAAAAAAAAACCACTAACGTTGTTTATGGCTCTATCCCTCTTGGCCTCGCTCTTCCTTCTCCTTGTTGTCCAGTCCGGTGACTCAGCGAATGTCCCGGCGATATTCATCTTTGGTGACTCACTCTCGGACTCCGGCAACAACAATTACATCCCCACTCTCGCCAAATCCAACTACCCTCCTTATGGCATCGACTTCCCTCTTGGCCCAACCGGCCGTTTCTCCAATGGAAAGCTTGTCGTCGACATCCTAGGTCTCTCTCTCTCTCTCTCTCTCTCTCTCTCTCTCTACTGTAACTGCTGCTACTCCTACTACTAATAACAGAAATAATTGATAATTTGCCTTTGCCATGGAAATGGGTGTAGCCGAAATGCTGGGATTGCCTTATGCTCCACCTTTCTCAGACCCATCCACCATGAACAATCTGCAGATACTCCAAGGTGTCAACTATGCATCGGCAACAGCCGGAGTCCTCGATGAGACGGGCAAGCAATACGTAAATACTTGTTTTTATGTTTGTTTCTCTATCTGAAGTTTGGGAACTTATATATGAATTGTTGTATGTTTTGATGCTATATGGCTTTCGTTTGGTTTTGATTGAAAACAACAAAACTTTTCAGATGGGTTCGATACCATTTAACAGGCAGATCGATGACTTCCAGCAGACAGTCTCGAGGATTTATACGCTGTTTGGGCAGAACACGACGGCCATGAATGCTTATATCTCCAAAGCTCTGATGATGGTTTCCATAGGGAGCAATGACTACTTGAACAACTATTTAAGGCCCGATATTTATAGCACTAGCACTCAATACACCCCACTTGCCTTCAGCAATCTCCTCGTTCAACAGATTGCTCAGCAGCTTCTGGTAAGACTATGTCCCTCTCGCTCATTAATTGATGCTTATTACTTCATGGATGTACGTACACTCAAGGACTGATGAACATTTTTGTTTCTTTGATTTGATTACCACCCTTTGTACGACTTCACTTTCGCTCATTCAAGGATGGACGAAAGCATCCGTACCAACATTTGTATTGGGCCAGTTGGATCTATTAATCCACGTCACAGTTCAGTTGCTTGTCCCAACGTTTAAATGAGAAACTATAACGATGTCAGATTTAATTTGAACAATTCCAACTGTTTTCAACTTTTACGGCTTGTGTGTGTTGTATAGTTTTTTTTTTTTTTTTCCAAAATAAAAAAAGCAAAGAGAAGATGGAGACCGACCTTACTCTTCCCAATCACCATTGCAGAGCACATGAAAATCACAACCATTTTCGTAATACGAACTGGTTTCTGTTACGCCAATATCTCCTTTGTCTCACCATTGCATTGCATAGAACAAGAAAGGAAGCACAACCATTTCCGTAATACGAACTGGTTAGCTTTTATTTTTTATTGTCTATTTTTTCATTCTGATTTCTGTTACGCCAATAACGCCAAAGGGGTTATTGGCGGAAATGAAAAGGTTTATTGGCGTTACAGAAACCAGAATACAAAAAAAGACAAACCCAAATAGATGTAAACTGTAAAAGTTGAAAATAGTTGGAGTTATTCAAATTAGATCTAACCTGACGTCGTTAGACAAACGCCGTAACCAATCGTTTCTCATTTAAACGCATTGGGACAAGCAATTCTGACGTGGATTAATATAGATCCAGCTGGCCCAACAAAAATCTTGGGACGGATGCTTTCTGAAACCTTTCTTGAATTTTGGTAATTACAATCACTTTTCCTGAACTTTCTAACACACTTGCAACTAGACCCCCTTTATTAAAATCCTCTAACAAGAGTCATGAAAATATCCAAAATATTCGTGCAATTATTATTGAGACTAGTCTCTAGTTTCTAGTTTCTAGAGAAGAAAAACAATACAAACTTTATGAATAATAAAAAAAGAGAATTTAAAGTTACAGTTTTACCTTTGAGCAATTGATATGAAGGGAAAATTTGAGAAGTAAATCAATTTGAGAAAAAATATTGGAAGGGTTTGGGGTAGGGGTGCCATGGGCTATCTTTTAAACCGAACAGGGGTTACCGATTTTTGGAAAACCAGTAACCAAAATCGAACCGAAGTCAATCGGTTAACCGGTTAACCGATTTGGTTAACCGTCGATTTGGTTTGTCGGTTTTTTATTATTTACAATATTTATTATATAAAAATATAAAAATATATAATAAAATACTAGAAATATATATAATATTATATTTTAAATAATAAATAATATATATAATATTATATATTATAAATATATTTATATTTATATATATAATGCATATTTATTAATTTATAATGTATAGAAAATATAAAATATATATAATTTAAATATCATAAAAATATATAAATATGTGTATACCACTCGTTCGATTAACCGAATTTTTGGTTCAGTTTCAGTTGGTTTTTTGGTTGGTTCGGTTTTTTGTTTTTTTTTTTTTTGCTCATCCCTAGTTTGGGAAGCAATTCATATGGAAAGAAAATTTGAAATATAAACATTTTGGTCAAAAATAACTATAAGGGTATTTTGAACATTTTCATGACTCTTTTTAGAGGATTCTAACAAAGGGAATCTACTTGCAACTATGTCAAAAAGTTGAGGGGAGGTGATTGCAATTACCAAACTTCAGGAAAATTTTCAGCAATTTACACAATTAATTTAAGATAGGTTTAGCTGAATACAACCTGTTAACAAGGTTGTGGAACCAATAATAACCCTCCACACCAGTCATAAAATACATGGAGCCCACAACCATACAACCTTTTACTGTGGGCCCATGTAATATATCACAGGCATGCCATTTAAAACATTTTCAATAAAAAAGAAAAAGATTAAAAAGTACATTTTACCCTTTTATGCCATCTTTTTGTACATTATATAAACAAATCTATTCTCGATTTCTCATTTATATTCTTGAAGGGACAACTTCTTTTAGGCCTAATAAGCAAATTTCATTAAGAAATGCTCATTCTACGATCAGATTACCAAAAAACATTAATGTTAAAAGTAGGAATGAAAAGTTGATAATAAATACAAGAATAAAACAAAATAAAGGATAAATTATTAAATCTCCCATGTGTTTTAATATTTCAACGTTTCTTATACTTTGACCTCTCAAAATTTCTCCAGAAAAATTATACAAGAAGATCCTGTTATTCGGATTTTGATGTTTAAAATCAACGACACCAACATTTTTTGCTAGGTTGTTAACAACAAACTAACAGAATGGATCTATTAGTGTAATTTATCCAAAATGTTGAGGGGGAAATTTCAATGGGTCAAAGTATAGGAAGGTTGAAGCATTTGCAAGAGAAGACAAAGAGGGGTTCAAGTAATATACCCTAAACAAAATTTTGGGATGGTAAGACTGAATTTAGCATTTATAGATGAGGTTAGTTTTACCAATTTCGCAATAGATGTTTTAGAGGCAACATTCATATATCTTAATCACATCTCTTCCATCAAGAAACCCACTAGTTTTTGTGGACAAAGGGTAAGTGAAAAGGTGAATGGAAGGTCTTAGGGTCTGTTTGGTTCGCAATCGGAATCGGAATGGTCTATTCTCATAGTCTGTTTGATTCAGATAGGAATGAGAATAAAAATTGGAATTAGCAGGAATGGAAATTCATTCCCAAGAGAAGGGCAGAGAATGGCCATTCCTTCAAATGGGGGAATGTCATTTTGGTAGGAATGAAAATGGGATTCCAACTCCATCCAACCAAACAGTTGGAATCGGAATAGCCCATTTTGATTCCGATTCCATACCCCTATTCCTGCGAACCAAACTGGGCCTTCATATTTGACCAAAACCCAAGGGGAGCTATAAGTAATTTACCAAATCCGGATCTGATCCCAAGACAGGGTCCCAAGAGGCATTGCAACCATACATTGGGAATATCTCGTCATGAAGAACAAGGTAGATTTTCCAAATACACAGCTGCAATGGTTGTTGGGACTAGATCTGAACTCCTTTACTCCCACCCCACCCCACCCCACCCCATCCCATCCACACACACAAATACATTCTTTAAAAAATTTGCAGTTTCTTATTCTATATGCATTTGTAGGCACTGTACAACATGGGGGCACGAAAATTCGTGGTTTACTCTCTGGGCCCTATTGGATGCACTCCGAATCAGCTTGTAGGGCAAAGCTGTGCAGACAAAGTGAATCAGATGGTGCTCCTCTTCAACTCAGCCCTTCGGTCTCTCATCATTGACCTCAACTTACACTTGCCAGGTGTCGATTTTGCTTATGCTGATGCCTATGGCATAATAACTGACATTCTTGTCAGCCCCAACTCCTACGGTAAGCTCAGAATCCTTTAATCTCTTCAGTTCTTCAAGGAATACTAAGCCCACTCAAGAGAGTATTAGAGAAGTAGAGATGCCTCAAACGTATACAAGTCAAGCTCTGTGATTACTGACAAAACCTTCACTAACATGTCGTTTACCTGCACAAGTCTAAGGACGGTACATCTCCTTTACCTTTTCCTATTACTCCCATACTGGGCTTAAACACACCACTTCTTTACTTTTCATACATTTGACTGCATAATCTTGCAAACTAGGATTACCATCATTCACTTTTGTGAGGCCGAATGAAATGGGGTAGTCGTTGGGGTTCTTAAATCCAGTTAGCACATAGTCCTACGAGTTCAAAAGCTTTAGGATATTGACCGAGAGGAAGCTCTGGCAGCAAACTTGAGCTAAAGCCACCGGCTGTGTGGTCCTTCCTATATTTCTCGAGCAGAGGGCAGGAGAGGTACAGAATGAAGGACAAACATACTCAGCAAGTCAGCAGTACAGCAGTCAGCAATAGAAATTGTGCTGCGCTGCAGGATTTTGCATTGCTAATTCTACCCTTTGTGAAGGATTGAAGGATGGAGAGTTCTATGTAGGAAATTTTCCTATGTTTTATTGATTGAAGAACGGTGCAATGCTCCATCTCCTTTTAGTAGTCCTACTGGTCAACTGGGCATTTCAAATAAGGGAGATTATTGTTATCAACACGCTCAGACTGTGAGTGTTGGTACCAGACTAGTCATCGGGAGGGAATTGATTCATGGCAAAAGCACATTGCCATAGCCGCCTATAATCACCAAGCCGTAGTTTGATATGGGAGATAGAGTATATGTGACATGAGTCCAGAATCCTACCCTTTTGGCTTTGGATCATGAACAGGTCACACCGTGCCACATCAACATATATGTATATATATAAATGTGTATTTTATCAATAAAAATCTATAACTATTTTTTAGATGTAATATATGAATATATAAATATTACTTTATATTATTTAATTCAGTTTTTAATTTTTTTATTTGTAAAAAATGCTAAAAGCTGTGATTTGAGACCAAAAAAAAGGTTCTTTTTTGACAAAAATAGTGGGCATTGGCACTTTGAGATGCATAGATTTTCAAAAGTTATCAAAAAAAAAAAAATCACCTCAATTGAACATTTGAGCACAAAATTATGGCTTCCAAAACTTTGTACATACATTGAATGCACAACCAGTGACCCAGTGACCAAATCGAATGGGTCAAAGGTTCAATCACCCGGATTGGATGGTTTTGACTAGGTCAATGGTTTTTGACCAAATGGTAGGTTGCATGCAAATCGGACCCAGAATCTTTACTGGGTGATGGTTTGAATGGTTCAAGCGGCCGGGTCAACAGCAGGTTGAAAACACTGCATATACATATACCAAATTTACAACCCAAGTTGGTAGATCTGCAAACGGGGCATTGATTGTTCCTTCTATAATACGTTTATAGATTAATTTCACAAATTAGGAACCTAAGTTAATAGATCTGCAAATGGGGCATTAATTGTTCCTTCTATAATACATTTATAGATTAATTTCACAAATTAGGACTATTCATAACTTGAAACCAAACAAATATCTCACATCTACCTATTTTTATAAGTTTGTTCTGTCCAAAAGGAGAGCTGACTGTTTGCAGATAACAGGTTTCTCAGTCACTTGGCAAGGATGTTGTGGAGCTGGAAACTTGCAGTGGAATTGTATTGCAGGAACAGCACCTTGTAATAATAGGAATTCTTACATCTTCTGGGACAGCCTTCATCCTACAGAGGCTGTCAACAGGGTTGTGGCACAAAGATCATTTGCTGGTCCACCTTCTGACATTTACCCCTTCAACATCCAGCAACTTGCGTCCATATAATCCCTCCCTGCACCATTGCCGGATTTATAATTCTTACAGACATAAATAGAAGGGTCCCCAGAATGATCCCCACAGCCTGTAAACTTCTATTACATATTATTGTATTCTTATGTCAATATCTCCTACATATACTCGAGAAAAATAATTAGTTAAAATGAATGCCGCATTCTCAGGATACAGAACCTTTTGCTTCATATTGCATTTTTCATTCATCTTATGTACACTTCTTTTTTATCCTGAGCATTGTTTGATGTGCAGAAGAAGCAATTCTTGAGAAGCTAATTGTAAAATATCTAAGAGACAGTTCCTTTTGATGATTAGTGTCACCTTCTTTTCATGATAAAGCTTCCAATTTATCAGAACAAGGCATGAATAGTCCTTTTCTCTCTTTTTTTTCTTCCCTGGGGACTAATGACTAATCTGGTAACTGGTAAGCTTTAGATATAATGTAGACATAGCAAACAAACTTATTAACAGATATCTACAATGAGAATCAAACCTGCTTAAGTTAATATATGCGGTCCATCTAATTTGCATTTGTTTGAGTCACTGGCCCAGTGGATGTAGAAGAAATACCTCGCTCGATACACTGTTGGATGAAGTTTAAAACTTAAACTATTAGAACAGGAAGTAACCAAGGCAGAAAGTTAAACAAGGTATAAAAAATCTGCTGCATGTACATCTCAAGATTTCAGGAAACTGAAGTGCCAGACAAAAGAATTAAGGAGCATATACATACATACATATCAACATTAAGGATATCTTTCTCTGGGTAAACAGAACAACAGGGTCCCCAATTATTTATATGGACAAAAAGGATTACAATGTTCTAAAAGGTATTCAGATATAGACATGTCTTAATCAAGGTTTTCTTGGTAACAGGGATAACATTGGACAAAGATGACAAATGATTAACAAATTTTAGAACAAAAGTTTTTTGAATGGGTAGTGAGGTTTATTAGATGATGCATAACAATTAATTTTACTGCTGTTTTTCCCTTCCAAAGAAAAAATAATATTGCAATTTTACATATACATCCCTTATGAGTTTGTTCCATTCATGAAGTCTTCTAAGAGCTATAAATAATTGATGTGCTTACCTAATGTTCATCTAACTTTCTTCCCCCTTAGTTTTATGAATGAAACCTGGGTATCTTTCTAGGAAGGGAAATATGCATATTGCCCATATGAATATAACAATGACTTAGTAGTCACTACCATTTTGTAGTCTTCTTTATCTTCCATCTAGGGATGGCAATTTTGACCCCAACCCATTTGACCACCCATTTGAATAGTGGTTGGTTGAGGGTACCCATTAGGTCATAATATTTTCACCATACGTTGCAACTTTTTTTTTGGTGAATCACCATATGTTGCAACTTTGAATGATATTTAGACTTCAATTGACAAGTAGTCATGTGCCATGCGTGTGAAACTTAAGTGAGTTGACCTTGTAATAGTAAGGCTAAACCCATCTAAAAGATGTGGAGCCCACAGTTTTTGACCTTGATCCACACTCACACAGAATATTGAAGTCTCTGCACAGAAACTCCACATGCCACTCTAATCTACCACATGTACATCGACTCATTCAAAAGGTGCTCTATTCTTTGAGTTAATTATGAAGGGTTATTGTAGATGGATGGTCCGGATTCACTGTAGCCAAAGTCATGAAATTCTGTTGCTTTTGATTGCACAATTTTACATATTTGAATTCAAAGAATGAAAAAGAAATAAATTACATAAAAGAATTCCTGTGCTACTTTGAAGTCTAACAATTCTACAATCTGTTACAAAAGAAAAAAGAAAAAAACCATTTTATGATTCAGAAATAAATAAATAAATAGAAGGAAAAGCTTGCGCCAATTAATAATTATATGCCCTAACACAATACCTAAACTAAGAGAGAGGTGGCCCACATGGAGGAGGTTCTGATTCTTGAACCAACAGCTTGATTGGTAGAAGTGTCAGATTCCAATAAGGAGCTTAAGCTGAAGTGTGGATCCAATCATATGCAGTCCCTTTGAAAAATGTTTTTATTTTTCCCTCTGATTTTTTGTTTTTCAGTTGAAAAAAATATTTTTTTAACTTTTTATCATTTTTTATGTTTGTTTAGTTGAAATACATATTTCTATGTTTTTATGCATTTGAAATTTGAAAAAAAGTTAAAAAATGTCTTACTTTGGGTTAGTGGGTCATATGGGTGGGTTAGGGTGGGTGAGGAACAGGGTGGGCTGTGACCCGCTAAGATGATCAAATATGGGTGGAAAATGGGTCAGTGGGTCAATATTGGGTGGGTTGGTACTCAACCCAACCCAATCCCCCACCCCACCCATTTGCCATCCCTAGTTCCCTACTCCTATGAGGGTGGGCCTGCTTTATGTTCTTACAGATTGTACATGCCAATGCACATATTCTCATGAAGACGTCTTATACTAACAAATACATATGAATTATCTTTTCTCTGAAAAAAATATCCCTTAGTTCAAGATGGTTTTCTTTTTGGATTGTATGGTGGCAGCTCTATGCCATTATAGAGGTCTCTTTGGTTCTTCATTACTGAACCCATTCTCTTGTACAATTGTGATTTCTTTTCCGATTAATAGTATTAATATTACAAATGAAAAGGAAAGTGTAGCTCTAAATAGAAACTGGACAGGAAGTGAATGGATTATAAAGACCAAAATTCATTTTTAAAGGTGCAGATCGCCTTTTAGTTTAAATTCATTTGATGTGATTTTTTAGTTCCAAAAGCTGAAGGCAAAGTAGGAGGTCTAATCATTCCAGTTCAATGCAGTTTTATTTTTTTTAGTTCAGTGATGAAAGTTTTGTAGAAAGTAAAACAAGAAAATGTACAAAATATATACAAGGGGAGATGGGATAAGAAAATAAAATGGACTACCCATGCTAGACCCCTCACCCTCAGTGAAGGAAAAGATATCAGAATCCTGAATATACAATAGAGCCCAAAAGGGACTTTTACATTTTACTTTTTAGGTCCATACCTGGGAAGCACAGTTCATCTTTTCCCCAAGAGAAAAGAATTATTCCATTGTAAGGGCTAAAGGGCCTAAATATGGAGAAAAAATAAAATCTGTTTCTCTTCCCTTACGGCCTCTTTGCTACCAATAATATTTCTCTTATTCCAATAGGAGTTTTTTTCAACTTGCTTATGAATGCAGAATGCCATTAAAATTTACTGGGGTGCATCCACTTTAGCTAGGGCAATGCAATCACGCAAACAAAAATCGACTTAATTTCAATTAGATGTTAAGCTATACCTGAAGAAGATACCCATGCAGCCAATCCAGTGTTTGTGGGAATGTTGTTGCTGAAATATTGACCACTGTCAAACCCTATTCAAAGGATACAAGAAAGAAGTAGGATAATTAGAATTTAGCTCATTTCTTATAGTTCCAAAGAATAAACTAAGAACTTGCAAAACAATGCTTCACTTATGCTTATGAGTTATGGCATAAAAAAGGCTGTTACTAATGCTGGTCCCAGATATCTGGGGTCATGGGAGGGTAGACTGAATATGAACATAACCTTTAGCATTTTTTTCACACTAGCAAGTGTGCACATGCTTTGCATGTGGCAATTTTTTATGGTGATGATGATGGTAAATAATATGTTTCCAAATTTTCTACAATATTTTATATATTTCTATGTCTATAAAAGTTATTCATATTTTTCACACTTATTTTTATTTAATATAATGAGTATATGATATTAGAGATGCGTCAAAATGTTTTCTACAATTTTTTTTTTTGTATTTTTTATGCTTTTGTGTGTTTTTATCTTTTTAAATTCTTATTATCATTTAATTATGACATTAAGGATTCACACATTTGACCCTAAGGTTGAAATTTTGATTCACCACCAAACAAGAAAACAACTCCATTTACGGGATGGTTGTAAATTTATATTTTATTCTATCATCAATAAAACAATTATTCTTTGTGACAATTATTTTTTTAATATGGTTCATCAACATAAAATATTAGAGATATACCCAGACATTTTTTACATTATTTATATATTTGTGTTTTTATTTTTTTTAATTTTATTATTTAATTATGGCTTCACGGGTTAACACATTTGACTTGAAAGGTTGAATTGTTGATCTATCACGAAATAGGAAAACAATTTCACTTTTGGGTTAGTTTTAATTTTTGTATTTTATTTCAATCATCAATAAAATGCTAGAAACAATTTTTGTTTATAATGTTTAATTTTTAATATAATTAATATAAAATATTAGAGATATGTCCAAATGTTTCTAGAGTTTATATATTTTTTCACTTTTTTGTATTTTTATCTTTTTTAATATTTATTATTTAATTAGGAGATCAAGGGTTGACACATATGACCCAAAAGGTTGAGCTGTTGGCATACAACCAAGAAAATCATTTCATTTTTTGGGTTGGCTTTTAATTTTAAATTTTATTTCCAACATCAATAAAAAATCAAAAACAAATATTATTTATCACACTTATGAGGTTCGTTATTTACTTAGGTCCTGTGACATCATTATCACCACATCAAGTTAATATGATCTAGACCACCTATTGGTCTACAATTCAATCTATGGTGACTTCAACAATCTCTGTCATGGTGCTGTAACCAATGTTTTGAAAATTGTAATCATATCATAAACCATAGAATTGTGAATTGTATTATAAATCGTGAGATTATTTCTATTTTTTACAAACTTGTTAAAAAATTAAATATAGACAATTCTAAAATGCTAAATATATATGGAAAAGTGTTCTACCCTATTTTCAAGTCATATCTACCATATGTGTACCTAAACCAATAGAATTTACCACTTATACAATACAAATCTAAGATGATATAATCATGTTTGACTTAAAAGTGAAATAATCCACATAGAATGGCTCTTTATCCAACATATGATAGAAAATAAGCTCAATCTAGGGTCTTAAATAACGTAAATAAATCAATTTCTACTAAGGTACAAAATGACATGGTAAAGAACTAATTCTTAATTGAATTGATTCGTATTACAATGAATCAAAGGAATCACATAAATTGTAAGATTTATGAATCAAATCATAGGATTCAAACAAAAATCGTAAGATTTTTGTAAAAAAGGATTCAGACATAAGGTTCGAATCAAAACCCTTGGAATTCATGATCCAAATCATGAATCATATCATAAATCATAAGATTTTAACAACATTGACTGTAACTATCGCATGCAATAACAATAACAACAAAAACAAAAACTCTTACACAAATTGTTTCTTGAAACTATCCTAAAAATAGAGGCCCCAATCTATTTGTAGTTTTGTACTGCCTTTAGCATTGAAGAACAGTTGGTTACGAGCCTACCTGTGACTCAAATGAGCATAAATAATCTTGAATCATCTTTAAGTTGCTTATGAGCTTATCTTGAACCTACAAAAATGATGGAAGGAAGAGAAAAACTTTAATAGTAAATACCATTAAAAAACAAACCTTAAATGTACAATCTTGAAGAATTATTTGGATATAATTGACCAACAAAAAACAGCGAAAAGGGAGAAGGAAATGAAAAACAAACCAACAAAAAAGTACACTAGAATCTATTTGAGAAATCAATAATAGTGAGTTTATTGAAAAAAGAACACAAATGCCAACTTGGCCCACAAAAGTACACTAGAAGAGATGAACCTCCAACTTTTCATATTAACTTGTGCTATCATGAAAGAAAACAAATGCCAACTTGGCCCACAAAATTTTTAGACCAAGATATGAAAACCTGTCAAGATCCTCTGCATGTGAACATGTCTTTGGTCTATGTGGAATAAATTTGATCAGAAATCGAAGTCAGGCATATATGTAGATGTAACAGCATTAAGAAAAATAAATGTATTTAAGTAAATCGGGGCAGACTTGTAAGTATTTTGTTTAAATAAATAACAAGAATGGACTTATTGAACCCAACTTTGTTTTGATTGGCAATCCCAACTCCACACACACACACACACACACACACAAATCATACAGAATGGATCAATTTCTTCACAAGAAGAAGGCAGTCACGGTGGGAGGTAGAAGACAATGAGTGAGATGGGTAAATAGCAGGGGCAGTTTTGGCATTTCAAAGAAAGTGTCTGTTGACAAGGCAGAAAAAGATATCATGGAGAAGCAGAGAGTGAGCATAACCTATACTACTATTTAAAAGTGTGAATGATAGTGTGGACCTTTTGGTTGATTAAAATACCCCACTTTTTTTATTTTTGGTGCCTCTCTAATTGTAGGTCAGAAATGTAATTTGAACAGCCACTTTTCTCCTCATTCAAATCCCTCTCATTAAGTCTTATATTTAAGGTATTAATTCCCATTAACATTCATTGAATCCAATTCTTGACTAGAATACACCTATTTATGAATTTGGTCCCTCTATAATTGTGAGGTATAAAATGTAATTTGAACCACTACATTCCTTCTCATTCAAGTCCCCCTCAAATTAAGTCTCATATTTAGGGTATTAATAATATTAATTCCCAATATTTCATTAAATCCCATATTAATTAATTATATTAAAGAAAAATAAGTGTGACAAAGAATAATTTTTTATTGATTATAGAAATAAAATACAAATTTAAAACCAACCCAAAAATGGAGTTGTTTTTTGGTTTGTTGGCGAGTCAACAATTCAACCTTTTTTTTTTCATAAATGAGAGTAATTTTATTGAAAGAGTATCAGAAATACATGCAGCCTAGGAAGAGGCACGAGATGTTACCTCCCCCAAGGACTGAATCATAAGCACTAAAACATGCCCAGACTTGAGAAACAAATTACAAATTAGCCCAAAACAGATCACCCCTTGCTTGGCCAGAGAATCACCATTACATTTGCTGATCTGCTAACCCACTGGAACTTAACAGTCATATTTCTTGTCATCCATTTAACTTTCTTTACCAGATCCCTGTAGCCCCAACAAACCGTGTCTGGGCTATTCAGCCAGCCCACTACTACCTTGGAGTCTCCTACTAACAAATTGCTCACTCCTAATTGACTAGCCATCTGTATACCTTGTACCGCTGCTAGTAGCTCTGCCCTTACAGAATCACCTTCACCCACTGGTCCTGAAAAAAGAGACAACATATTGCTGTCTTTGTCTCTCAGAATCCCTCCAATTCCGGATGGCCCTGGGTTACCTTGGCAGCTATCATCAAAGTTCAATTTTACCACTCCATTTGGTGGGGGTTTCCATTCAACTTGTAATTTGTTCTTGGTGGAGACTGTAGAAGCCACTGCTTCCCAATTTCTCCTTAAGTCATCAAAGGAGAAATCTGCCAACAATTGTGAAGATTTCAGCCATGAAATTGTCTTTGTCAATATACATTCCTTGACTTCAGCAAGACTTCTTTCCTTTTCTTGAAATATTCTAGCATTTCTCTCCTCCCATAAGATCCACAAGGTGGCAGCTCTGATACATTTCCACATTATCTTCCCCCTTTTTGTCAATCTCCCAAGAGCATCTGGATTGAACAGCAGCTTTACTTCAGAGGGCAAGTTCCACCTACACCCAAATAAAGAAACAACCCAATTCCAAATATTGGCAGCGAAGGAGCACGATATCAGCAAATGGTTACAGTCCTCACCCTTCACTTTACACATAAAGCACCAATTTGGGGACAGACACAAAAAAGGTTTCTTCTTTTGTCGGTTTTCCATAGTATTAATCTTACCATAATAGGCTTCCCAACAGAACACTGCTACTTTGGGGGGTATTGGCCTTGACCAAACCTATTTAACAGGGAAGATAGGGGTTGAGTGCTCACCCAAGTATCTTCCCAAAAAAGAATAAAATTTCCAGAACAAGCATCGTACCTTACAAACCTGAGGAATTTAGGGAGAATGCCAGAGATAGCCTTCCAAGGTGTTGTGAGCAAAGCCCTTTGAGATACCCCTACATCCCAACCTGATTCAAAACAGCCATGGATACTTTACACTACTTCGTGCCACAACCTCTCCCTCTCCAGGGGCCACCTCCAAAACCACTTACCTAAAAGAGCCTCATTCTTATTCACCACATTCCCTAAGCCTAGTCCTACTTTTTTGCTCCGACTCACCACCTCCCACCTAATCAAGTGATCTTTTTTCTCTTCACCAAGTTCCCATAGGAAGTCCCTCATCAATTTTTCCAACCTTTTTGCCTCCCTTTTAGGAATTCTAAAGACTAACAGGAAGTATAAAGGCAAGTTAGCTAAAGTTGCTTTAATCAAAGCAACTCTACCACCCATGGAGATGTAGTTCATCTTCCAAGCTGCCAATCTTTTTTCAAAATTTTCAACCACCAGATTCCAGAACCTACTTTCCTTTGGGTTTGCACCTAGAGGAAGTCCTAGGTAGGATAGAGGCCACTGAGAGCAAGTGCATTCTAACAAGGCAGCTATAAACTCCACCTCCTCTCTGTTCAAATTAACCCCCGCAACACAACTCTTCTAAAAATTTACCTTCAAATTCAAGGCCCTCTCAAAGTGAATTATTAAGTCCTTCAGATTCCTTACCTTTGTCAAATCACAACCTTCGCAAAAGATTATTATGTCATCTACAAATTGAAGATGGGTTACTAACACTCTGTCTCTACCTACTCTCCACCCTCTTAGAGATCTGGCTCTCTCTGCTTCTGAAAGGAGTCTACTAAAAGCATTGGCAACTAAGGTGAAAAGGAAAGGTGACATGGGATCACCTTGTCTCACACCCCTACTAGCTGGGAAAAAATCAGTAACTACCCCGTTGACTAGGATGGAATAATGGCAACTAGAGAGGCAACCGTTTATCCATTTGCACCACTTATCCCCAAACCCACACTTCTTTAGCACGAGTGATAAGAATCCCCAATCCACTAAGTCATAGGCCTTTTCAAGGTCAAGTTTACAAGTATAACCTTTACGCCCCGATCTCCTCATCTCCTCCACACATTCATCTGCTATTAGAATTTGATCTACAATTTGTCTCCCCTGAACAAAAGCTCCTTGCGCTTGGCTAATAAGACAAGGAAGCACCTGTTTTATCCTCAAAGATAAGACTTTTGCCACAATCTTGTAAACACCAGTCACCAAACTGATAGGTCTAAAGTCCTTTGGATGCTTGGCCTCTTTCTTTTTCAAAATTAAGGCTAGAAAAGTAGCACTAATTCCCTGACTCATCACTTGATTATTCTCAAATTCCTTGAAGGCCTCAAATAAATCTTCTTTGACTATCTCCCAACAATCTTGAAAGAAAGCCATTGTAAACCCATCTGGCCCTGGAGCTTTAGATCTGTCCATGGAAAAGACAACTTTTCTATTCTCTTCCTCCTCAAAATTCCTTTCCAGCCAGCTTCTACTCTCTTCTGAAAGCCTCTGCCAGGTCACACCTTCCAACTCCACTCTAGGGCTTAGGGGTCTCCTCAAGATGGATTTGAAATGGTCAACAAAACAAGTAGTTATCCTCTCTTGGGTATCAAAGACTGTTCCATCCACTTCCAGTTTGGAAACTAGGTTTTT